GGTGGGGACATTGTACAAGAGGTAGGGCGGGTCACGAGGGTGTCTCGTGCGTCACGTATACACCAATCGACGGGGAACCGAGGAAGCATTCTCTTATTTGGTCATGGTCCTTCTACCCTACTAGCATAAAATGTTTCTCATATATTTTCAATATGTTTCACGAATATCGTACATTTTGTAACTATTTAACAGATGTACCGTGCACGGATCTCGCGCTAACTTTGATAAAAACTCACGTGAGTAGAAGGGAAGTTGGGTATTACAAAACGAACCTAAGTTTAACCATAAGTTTATAATTCTTCAGTTGGCTATTTCTTAACGTATCTTTTTAAATATCGTACTGGTACAGTTTGACCAACGGGAGGATATCCCCTATTTTAGCCTATTATCGCATTTTTAAAGTACAATACACTGTAAGAGCTTACAAGGAGATAAGAAGCAGACGGAAAATAGATAACTGCAAACAGTTGCCAATATGAATTATGCAAAACCATTCGTAGGTGCATTTAATTCTTGGATGAGGGTCCCGTACGCATTATAACGTTCCAGCGTGAACGATATGGAATGCATATTTCATTGGCTCGAGAAGTAGTCGCATACATGGCGGGTCTATAAACACATTACATATCTGGAAGGGACATTAGATATCTGTGTACCCTCTTTTTTAACAAATTTTAGCACGAAACAATGTTTCGTGCTAAAATTCAAGTATTCGAAGGCGCTCCGATGCGGTATTTTCCAGAAAATTCGCATTCAGCGAGCGTTTTCAAAACGGCGGAATTACGAAATTGGAGGACGCTTCGTTTCGTATAATTCTCAAAGTAGACTCTAAAGAACTTCAACATAAATATAAATGTCCGTAACGTGACGCGCCAGCTTGTTACTATCTGAGTACTCAAAATGGCATTACCACCAAAAAGGCTATACCCTTTCGTTACTTAATATTCATCCATACATGAATTTTAATTTACCGACGATTAAATTTCTAAGCGCCTTTCGTATCATCTTAAAGGATTAAAATCTCAGAGTACCCGAAGGCGCACTCCGATGAGGTAGTTTCCAGAAAATTCGGATATTCAGCGAGCGTATCCAGAACGGCGGAATTGCGAAATTGGAGGACGCCCGGCAACTCGGCTGGCGCGAGGCACGAGACGAAATAAAGTCGCGCGGCGCGCAGCAGGGGAGGGGGGGAAGCCTCGAATCGAGCGGCGCGACGTCGGGGGAGGGGGGGAGCGGAGGGGGACCGGGGAGAATGGCCGGACGAAGCAGACGAAGGGGATGGCGTGAGTCACTCCGGCGTTGCGAGCCGGCGGATGGCGGCGCGGACGCCACCGTCACTCAGTTGATCGCGAAACGCCACGCCCGACGAGTGGTGTGCCGCACTTTCTACTCGCTTCGGCTGCCCGCAAGCCGCTTCCGCTGGATTCGTCCTTAACCCGCGATCGTCCACCGGGGTACGAACCGGATCCGCTACGGTCCCGGCCCGTCCCGTCGCATCTACGGTACGATCCCCCACGCTCTCTGGCTTAACCGTTTTTAGTGCCCGGCGATTTTCTTCGATAGATGCTAAAATGTGGAAGGTATTAATGATCGAAGTAATCTTACCGCTTTTGGGAATATGCCCATGCGGAATAAGTGTATAGGTTGAACCAACTGCGACGAGAGCGCCCTCTTCGCGAGTTTGGGTACATGAAAGGACGTTCGTGCTTGTTAGAATTTTACGCCGAATGAAAAAATTAAACTGCTGAACGAATTTTTTCGGTATATGCTACAATGTGGAAGGTATGGTTAATTCAAAGAAATCTTACCGCCTTTGGGAACACGCCCATGTGGAATAAGTGTATAAATTTAAGTAACTGCGACGAGAGCGCCCTCTTCGCGAGTTTGGCTACATGAAAGGACATTCGTGCTTGTAAGAATTTCTCTAGAACGGAAAAAATGACGTTACTGAACGATTTTCTTCGATCTATGCTAAAATGTGGAAAGTACGGTGATGGCGATGTGAAAGTGGCGTTAAAGAGGTCTCGATCATGAAACTTTTCTTCAAGCTGGGTGTACCGAATCGTTTCAACATTTACAACGTGAATAGGGAGACTATAAGGAAGGTCCTGAAACTCGTGAAATTTCAATTCTTTTCAAATTTGTTTATAGGTATTTTAAAAATAAACAGAAAAGTAAGCATGTAACGTGCCACTTGTCACAAGTTAAGAAATGGCGCAATAGTTTCTTGGTGACTAAGCTCTCTGTCTAATCAACCGGAGCCTTTGCTCTGGCGTAATCTACTGGCATTTTCTTAAATTTATAGTGGTTGTACGCAAAACAAGATTTATGATAGCAGATTATCCGTGGGATGAGAACGTGGGCAGTTAATACTGCATTGGCATTGCCGATACATTTTCTTTATATCCATTAAATTTATATATATCAATATTTTTTGCACTCCAGATACGAGAAATATGAAAAGTCACTTAGAATAATAACAAAGCAAAACATTTAAATACTTTTTTTTTTTCAACGTTGCTTACTGATACTCTGTGATAGTCTGGTCTTTATTTATAAAGTGGAGTGCGAGGGCACAGAAAACATGAAATTGACGAAGAAAGTATGAATTTTGAAAATGTTTACTTTTTTAGTTCTGTATTTGATAGTAACGGATTTTCACGATTGAAACTGGGTACATACAATGGCGGACATGAATGCTTTCCCTGCAGATACGGCATCGCCTGTGCAGGATGGGAGGGCATTGATGTCTCCCAGTGTACATTAATCGAACCTTCCACTGATCGTTTTAAATTTTATCGCTTTAAATTTTCTTGGAAAATTGACAACTTCATTTTCCGTACTGCATGTCTTTGTTACAATTGCTACCGACGTAGCGTGCGATTGTAACATCGAAGCAAATCTAACGATATTAATTAATTTAAAAAATTGAATAAATATTTAAGGATGAGAAGTATAAGTTGACAAATACGTAAAAGCACAGCAGATTGTATTAATTTGGTGTCGTCAAATTATGTCTATTATGACTGACAGGAGTCAAGTAACCGGTTTACTTTGCTTACATTTCATGACCGATTCGTTCGCACTTAGTAGTCAACTTCGAGGTGGCACGATTTCGCCATAATTTTAGTTTCTTGTTTGTATTTCGATCGAAGTCGGTTAGAAACCTACATTTACGATTACATGACATGTTATAAGGTAAATGATTTTCTATACGACTGGGTACAATTAGAGCACTTATTGTTAGTCCAGGTACGGCATCGGGTATGCCAGGTAACGAGTGTCGTCAACTCGTTTCTGTGGAAGGTTCCGGGCGAAGGGGTGGTCAAAATTCGGTGTCTCGATGGTACCTTGTGACCTTGTTTCGGTCAAGTTTCTCGGTTGGCCGATACGGTCCGGTGGAGTCACCCGCTACGCTTCATCGAAAGCCGGTATCGCAGCGATTGGCTTTACCGTTAGGTTTTTATTTACGTTTACGCAACAATTTTTCTCCTTCGCGATATTACTCAGCTGTATGAGTCAGTCTTGCTATTGTCGGAGTACTTGGATTTTTCTAACAGTTTTTATCCGGAAACTCGGTAGAGTGTCGCGCCAAATACATTTGAAAGCATGTGCGAACGGCACCGGATACTTAACGCCAAAGTTCGGCACTTCGGTTCGATAAATATTTTTCTCTCGAATAAGAGAACTTACCGTGGACCCATGTTTGGCATAATGAAAGTACGTTCCGTTTTGTAGAGCCTGTAATTTTGTTTATACTTTTTATTCTATAATCAGTGCGAATGTTGAAAGTACGACTCAAATTTTCGCCAAATGCTGTACGGGATTTGTGTCGACGAGTTTCCCTTGTCAACGGGTATTGTGTGGAAAGCACTAATATCGCTGTACCGTGTAACACAATATTTCCTTGAAATCCAATGCGTCTTGTCCGTGAATGACGCGTCTCGCACGATGGTCGGTGGTTATACATGGCACGTTACCCTCCAGGGTCCTTACGACATTTCGCCATCCATCTTCTATTACCGTCCAGCCAACCAAACTTTGCCTGAAGTGAAACCCCCTTAAGGTGAAGTGAAACACGTCGAGGAAGTCGATCGACGTCGATAAAGATTTTTCTAAATGATACATTGAATTTGGAGCCATGACAGTAGTATCACTGGAACGACGACGGGCGGTCGCCAGGGTTGGGTAATTTAATGATTTTTGAGGTTTTTGACGTATATTAGGTATATCGTTTTTTACGTATGTTAGGTAGAAAACTAGGGACGTATTATACGTTGTAATATACGTGTAGAAAACCACGTATATTACTTGACGAATTATACTTACCCAACCCGGGCGGTCGCAGTCGAACAACGCGATGGGATGCAGCGCGCCGATTGCGACGTTGCCGACTGCGCGGGCGAGGCGTGGCACGCGCGCACTCGGCGCGCACGCTCGGGCGGTTCGCATAATTGATGCCTGGTTCAGTGAACGTTTTAATTGCCGGACACGCGTATGTACGCCCTAATCCATTGCACACGTGTAACTGCCTCCACGAGGGTAGGCATACGTGGTGCATCGCACGGTATCGTAGATTATTATCAATAAAAGACGCCAATCCATTCCAATGGCGGCTCGCTATAAGGGGCCACGGAGCCACGGCACTACCATCATGAACCAGCCATTCAAATTTCTTTTTACTTCTGACAATAGTTGCGTTCCCTTATTTTGTGGATTTAAGGTGATACGAAAGGCGCTGAGAAATTTCATCGACGTCGATAAAATGAAATTCATGTATACCCTTTTTGGGAGAATGTCATTTAGTATAATTTTAGTACCCAGTATAATTTGACACGCGGTACGTAGGTATTTAGAAAAATATTTTTTACCGGCCTTCGATCAAGTTCCTCGACGTGTTTCACTTCACCTTAACCGTCGATTGACATTACATTTTTAATCCAGTTTGTTTTCACTGAATCGGCCACTTTTGCTGCTACTAATCGGGTCAGTGTAAGTCCGTGAATAGATTTTTTATATACGGCCTCTGGTGACGTATACATACTCCGTTTATTTTAATACCGCACTGTGGGGCAGTAAAACCTGTTTTATAAAAAAGAAAAAAAGGCTTAACAAATTTCACCGAACAGAATCCTTGAGAGAGAGGTGAGTCATACTTCGAGAAGTGGCGAGTGAATAAGCGCATGAATATAACGAGACTTCGCTGATAGTAATCTGCCATTTTAAATGCCATAGCGGGCATAAGATGCAACAATGTAAAGATGCAAACGCGTGGGAGATCAGCCAACCAAGCGGCTTATTCATCGGCCTTATATAATTTACTACATGTAATGTAGATGTAGGTAGGGAATTATATAATGTAGATACAGTCGAAGGGATTATTTACGGGTCGATTTAAATCCGTCGTACAAAATGAAGATCCTTGTCCGACATTTTCTCTTCTTGTTCTCATCTAATTGTATAAATAAAAACGAAAAAAAATATAATCTTTCAACAATTTGAAGAAATCTATCGATCGCGTCGTATCGTGCAATCTACGAGAAAAATATCAGTTTCTGTTTCAAATTAGTCAAATGCGTTAAACTATATTTGTCAGAATATGAAAAACATTATTGAACATATTGAACTTGTGTGTTCCTCGACGTGTTTCACTTCACCTTAACCAAGTTAACCGGTAACAGAGGCCTATAGGTGTCAAGATTAGAGAGAACGAGGTCCGTGACCTTGAGCCTGGATTGGCGGCGTTTGGTGTCGGAACTGCCGGAATAGCCAGGTGGCCAGTCGGTAATACAGGGGCGGCAAGTCGATAAGCGTGCTCGGTGCGGCGCAACCGTCTCATTAAGCGGGCTGACTTTCAGATTCTTCACTTCGCTTGGCAATCGCCACCGTGCACGCTCTATTGGCTCGATAATTCGACCGGAAGCTCCGTGGCAGCCATAATTCCCGAGATAGGTTATTAACCGGAAAACTAGAAAGTAAGGTTAACTCGATACACATAGGTGCTCGCGTTGTTCGCTAATTGGGTGTGCAACTTATTTCCCCGTTCATACGTCGCGGAAATTCATAACTGCGGTTTTTCACCGTATTCCCGTAAAAAGGTTAGGGTTCTTACCAATTTCTCCGGTTAGTTCTTTGCGCTCGTTCGATGCTCGAGAGTATGCACATGATGCTCACAAGACATGTACCCTGAGAGAAAAATGTAATTAAATTAATTATTTTTGCAATTAGTTAAGCTACTGTCGTTTTTAACGTAATTTAACGTAATTCAAATTCGATGAAATTTGTTCATCTAGACCGCATGGGAATTTGAATACGACAAATTGCAATCGCGGATAATCGGATTAAATGTAACCACGTTATCGGCTCTGGTCTAATCTGGTCTGAACGGATCTGATCGGTTGTACTGTATACATACCCTAATGCGAAATGTATCCTCTGCTTTGTACGAGAGTTTATTGTATAGGGCAAGGTAGGGGATATCGTCCCGTCGGTGAAATTGTACCACTACGATATTTATACAGTTATATGCAGTTGTCACATGGGATGCTTACGTTACCACTTGAGTATTCAAAACGGCATTACCGCCAAAAAGGGTATAGATGAATTTCACTTTATCGACGTCGATTCAACTTCTTAGCGCCTTTCATATCCTCTTAACCCATCTCCGTCGAACGTATCCGGATAAAAAATAATAAATGTGATCGGGCCTGGTTTCCGCCGGTCGAGATCGGTTACGCGACAATGGAGTTGCCATTTGATGGTCTGGGCAAGTTGACAAGTTGGAAGTGCGGTTCCCAGTTGGAGTTACTAGAGCGCGAGGAAACGACGACCGGGGATCGAGAGAGAAACGAGTCGCGCAGGCGCCGTGATGCGACGGAGGTCAACGCACCTCTCTTCGAGACTAGGCATTCCGTGGCCGAGCGTCTCGAGCGCGCCTACCGACGCGCACGCCCCTCTGCGGGCGACGAGCGGCAGGGAGCAGACGCTTCTATGGGAATGTTTCGTTCAGTGTTACTAGCGCCACCACAGCTTACGCCCAGAAGGTGCCGAACTAAAATTCAATATGGTTGACGCGCTTGCGTACTAAGGTAGTTTATTCGGCACGTCTTTTAGCACACATGTAAACACGGAAATATTTGAAGGAACGATGAATTATTTTGGCGCTTGTATTTAAAATTGTTTAGAATTGAAAAATAAGGGCGTAATGTACTTTACGCTCGCGTAGAAAACTAGAGACGTAATATACACGTAGAAAATCATGTATATTACATGACGTAGTATACTTACCTAACCCTGGGATCCATCCCCTGACTCCGCGGACGGAGCGTAGGAGACGTAGCGCCACGCGGTCTGCCGACGATCGCCGCTTTAGATCGGAGATGCCGTTCTAGTAGATATTGCACTTACCGACGGCAGGGCATGCCTGTCTAATGACGCGTCTGCCTACCACGATCATTAGGGCGGTTCTCATTTACTCTTGGCAAATATTTTTTTCGCGATTTGGTCCAATACTCTTGAAGAAAAAGTGTTGTATTCGAATCGACCGATTTCACTTCGCCTTAAGCGAATGAAATGTTGCTCGACGGAAGTGTAAAAGAATCGGTAACGACTAACGTCCTTTTTACTTTCCAGGCAGGGCCGACGATGTGAGTGGCGCATTGGTGAAGCTAGCGCGCAGCTGTAACTGCCAGGACAACATAAGCGTGATCGTAGTGTTCACGAAGTCTCCCTCGGAGATCGTCTCTCGGCCGCTCTCGGAGCTCCCTCTACTCCAAGCCGCGTTCGAGGCCGAGTCCGTCCCGACCGGCGACATGCTCTACGAGCCCGAGGAGGACGGCACGCGACTGGCCAGCCAGCCGGCCAACGGCAGGCGCGACAAGGAGCGTGGCGTCGCGGCCGTCGACGAGGACGACAGCGACGACTTCGGCCCGGAGACCGACGTGGACGCGATCGACGACGCCGACGCCGTGGCCACCCTGAAGGGCATCTCGCGTCAGCTCTTCTCCGAGAAGACCGAGGACGAGGAGCCCAACGCGGAGGCGGCCCGCAACGGCGACGCCCCGGCCTTTCCATATCCCAGTAGGTAGTTCACACGATTTTATTGCACGGAAGGGAAATAATGGTTAGGAAAACCAGAATTGTGGCAATCGTAACCCTATTCCAAGGCGACATACGGGAGAACCTTGGGAGAAGGTTGCAATAACCAGCGTAACGTAGTAAAAAGAACATAGGAAGGGTTACTTCACCATTTAGTCAATGTAACCAGCGTAACGTAGTAAGGGTTACTTCACGATTTAGTCAATGTAACTACGAGGAACGAGTTGTTTCAACATTGTGCATAGTTCTGAATATTCGCTTAAATAATTAACGCTGACATAAAAAATTCAATTATTATGACTACGAACGCTGTACTTACGTTTCTGTCAGGGTTCTCATAGATTTCTATCTGAAGTAGGAAAATATCAGTCGATGCTCAAAAATGTGTTTCAAACGATTTTGACATTTGTTCATAGATATTTTAAAAATTTCTTGTCACTTTCACATCCCCTTAAAGTGGATTTCTATCCCGACCAAGGGGAGCTTTCACGTGTCCCGCGTTAGCGGTTGCATCGCTGGCGTCACACTTCATATAGCGAGTCTCTTCGAATTTTTACATTCCTTCTCCCCGCGTGCCAAGTACCGGAATAACTTCCCTCGTGCGCGGTCCTTTCGTGCCCGCGCCGACTGACATCTCGCATACTCGTCTTTTTCCTCGGACAGAGATGGAGATTGAAAGAGAGGGCGAGAACGCGGGGGGAAGAGGCAGAGGGAGAGAGATAGACTGCACTCTGTGTCAGGATTCCAATTAGGGATGCAGTTAAAGAGCCAGGCTCTCTTTTAGCGCCGGCAAACGTTGGCAATGGCGTCGCGACATCTGGTAAAAACGTCGCCACGACGATTTCGCTCGTGTCCGGGGACGAGAAATGTTTGTAGGGACCGGTTAAGGTGAACTGATGCACGTCGGGACATTTTATCGTCGTCGGTGAAAAAAAGATTCTTCTAAATACCTACGTGGCCGACGTTCGTATTTATATCGGTAGCTGTATCCAGTTATATTGGGTATTGTACTAAATGGCATACTCCATATGTCGTTTCCGTACAATAATTACAAAGAAATCGAAGTAAAACTCGAGAAGTTTCCTGGATTCTTGGTTTTTGATGCCCTAGTTGACTGTGGAGTGCCAGGTTAATTCTTACGTGCTCGGAATCATTTCATTGGATTACGTTAATTTGATTTCATCACGTTCATGTGGCTAAATAAGCGTCGGCATTAAGATGCAGGAACGAAAGTGCGGATAAAGCCAGTTTTTCCCCTAGATTTGTTTGAAATAGCTAGAATGCCGACCAGCCGCTAATAGTAATGTCGTCCCACTAACTAGGTTTTAAAAAAGGCAGCTCCAGCGGAAAATACGCTTAATTGGTAACACTGGTTTCATCCCGCTGGAGCGAGAGAGAGAGAGACAGGGGGAGGATTTTCGTCACCCACGTCGGCCTTTACCGGTCCTGAGCGATCGGACCGTAGGTAGCCAATGGGCGTAACTCGTACCGGCATTAATATGGATGCTTATGTGGGATGGCGGAACTTTTATTCCCAGTGACCGGCCCACTTTTTGCCACTTTAGCTTTCACCACCTTGTACCGGTCACTGCACTTCCTGCACTGATTGTTGTCCTCTTGCGTGGTAGACCAGATTCGTTTCCTCCTTTTGCCGCCTTACCTCTGCTCGACTGCCGTTCAGGGATGAACCGAAACCATCTAGACTACTAGATTCCAATTTTCCATACATTCCATGGAAAACATTGAATTTTCATTTATTTTGTCACGTAATATACATAACGTATGGAATTTATAAAGTAATATAATACCCAGCAATTTGCTGTAGAAAAACAAACTACGTAAATTACCTTCCCAACCCTGAGGAAAGGTCGCGCCGTATTTCGAAATTCGTAGCGCCATCTGCACCGTTCCCGCGCGACGGAAGCGCTCGGTAAGGAAGATCCGCCCGCGGGATCGCGTACAAGGTTCGCGCGGCGGTCGCGCCTTCGATTTCGGCGCGGGCGGCGCCCGCGATTGGCCAGTCGGTCGACTCGAGGCCGCGGCCGATTGGAGGGGCGCTCGCCGCGCCAACGGAAGGCCGGCGCGCCAGTTCGTCCGCGACTCCCGCACGGTTGCCACGCGAAGGTCGAGTGCGCGTGTCGCGTGCGCGCTCTCGCGTCCCCCTTGCCGTACCGAGGCGGCTTCTCCGTCGCGCGATCGCCCCCGACTGGGAGCGTCACACTTGGAGTGTCACTCATCTGCGCAGGGCAACCGTCCGTTCCGCGGGTCACTCGGGAGCCGAGTCTTCGAGAGGTGCGCGGCCGGGTCTCAGCCGGGCCGAGACGGAGAGAGAGAGAGAGACTGCCCGTAAGGTAGGTTGCGCGATAACGGAAAGTCGGCAAAGCGCCGGCCGGCCGGCCGGCGCGACGGTTGGTCGGTCCCCGACGGCCTCGGGCCTGTCCGGAGGCCCTCGTCCGGCAGCGGACCTCGTGCCGCGCGCTCGGAACGAGGGGGCCTGGGTCAGGTACGCAGGGACGGAAATAGACCGACCGGGTTTCTAAATCCATCGCGATCGGTCCGTTCCGAGACGCCCGAACTGCGCCGGATCGGCGCCGAGAGGGCAGGGGAAGGAATTTTGGACGCGAGCGTCCTTTGTGCCTATGGGTTCCCACGGCAAAGAATTCAGAGGTCTCCATAAGAGCCTCTGAAGGATATATGGACGTTCGATGCCGGATAAATAGTACGCTAGCCAACGGATGGCGGCGCTGTTCTCTCTTAATCTTACGGCTATGTATACCGAATTGCATTCTTTCTTTATCTTACCCCCAAACTCGCCTTTTTATATGCGTCTCTCTTAATCCCGTACGTGAGATATCGTTCGCTACACATGCGATCTCTGTTTTACCCACACTTCTGGGTTGTTAGCCAACTTTTAGAGCATCAAGCGCTAACGTAGGATCTGGGCTTCTATAGGAATTTGAATTCTTTGCCCACGCCAAGCCCGTTGGCCCGGTGTCCCACCGAGAGCGTTCCTCGTGACGCGACGCGGCGAAAACGTTCGTCTCAACCGACACTTTCTCGCCGTGGAAGTGACGTATCGGATGAAGCACGGCCTCGATTGTTCTTTCATCCTCTACGCGTTTTCCCGTCGCGTTCTGTGTGACACTCGGGAGGAACTCGGACGAATTATAGACCGACATCTCATCGCGCGAAGAAGCGAACGAGAGACGATAAGTGAGTGCGGAGAAACTCCGGAGTGGGGAACTTTCGTCGTATGTTCGGCGGTTTCTCTTTAACGAGAATTCACATTTTCTTGCAACGTCCTTTGGTTTGTTTTATTCTAGCGATGACGTTCTCTCATAGGCATAACCGGGGTTGGGTAATTCCCCATTTTTCGAGATTTTTCACGTACATTACGTACAAGGAGTTTACCGGAGAAAACGTAGAAAATATGGCGGACAAGACAGACGTAGGGCATGCGGTATCCGCTAGGTTATAAATATCCATCTTGTCCATTTGTTTCATCCCATGATTTACTTTTTGGTCTTCCACCTTTGTACATTTTTATACGAATATTGGTTACGAATCTTACGACTTAAAATAGCCGTTATCAGCCGTTATAAACAAAACGTCAAATGCACGTATATGCATACATTTGGAATTTCCAAGGCTGATTTCGAATGTGCGCGGATTTGTGGAGGCGAAAAGCGCAATCTCCTTAATAGCCAATGAGAATCCCTCTTAGAGATAAATAGGTGGACTCTCATTGGCTATTGACGATATTGCGCATGCGCTTTGCACGTTTAGTTTGGGGTAATGTACTTCGCGCCTGTGTAGAATACTAGGGACGTATTATAGGTTGTAATATACGTGTAGAAAATCACGTATGTTACTTTACTTATTATACTTACCCAACCCTGGGCATAACGACTGTCATCGGAGTGCCAGGCAGATATCGCCGGTGCGTTTCGGATCGAATATGGCGACGGCAAAATTGCGCGTCATCGCGTGCGCTCGACTCGACACCGACTCTCTTAACCTGTTAATCGGGGAATTAGAAGGATATGGAAGGCGCTAAGAAATTTAATCGTCGTCGATAATGTAAAATTCATCTATACCCTTTTTGGGGGGAATGCCGTTTTGAATACTCAAGTGGGAACGTAAGCTGGCGCGTCCATTACCGACATTTACATTTATGCTGAAGCCTTTTACAATTTACGTTGAGAACTATACGAACGGAAGGGTTCTGTAAAAAGTAGATCTGATGTAGGAGAATTTAGGGAAATTTTTCATTTGAGTAAAAAAAATACATATTTATATATTTATTACCATTAACGTAGAGTAGTAGAAAAAAAATTGTTTACACCTGGCGCAGGCGATTGAAGCCCTCCAGTGATCCGAAACAAAAGGTTGAAAAAGATTCTTAACCCTTTGCATCCCAAAGACGTTTAAATGCGTTCGACGTTTGGTCCAGTATTGCTTGCACGCTTTGATCAATTTCGCCCGTGTGTTAAAAGGACTCCGTACTCAAAGGGTTAATCTGTAAGGCCGTCGCTATCGCCCGTATCTCAATCTTGGTAAAATTATAATTTTAACTCGTACTTTTCCCTCAAAAATGTGTTATTTTTTCGACGTACAGTAGAGGCTCTTAAACGAAGAAACCTAACGTATAAATAAAAAAAAAATGAATATTCTCATAAATTCTCATTTCCAACCGCTGCACACCGTTTGCAACCGCTGCAAGCCTAAAAATATGAATTTTTACAGGGAAAATGTGTGCATGTTAACTTCAGAAGTCTAGCTTTTTCTTTCTGTTTTTTTTTTTTTTTTTTTTTTAAATTAACTATTGCTCAAGTTGCGTAGCGGAATATTCGCACAATGTTCGTCGAGTTCGTTCGTTGTGGGTACAGTGATTGTTTCCCGAGGGGGAAACAAGGTGCGACCTTGCAGTAATGAGTTCCGATTCCGGTATGGCGAAAGGGAGGTTATCGAATTGTGTTAACAGGTCGTAGACGTACGTGATTTAGAGTCTTTAACACTAAGGGCTGGTCGCACCGACATTCGAGTTAAAATCGGTTGTTTTCATTAAAAACGTTTTTACTGCAAGAGGATTCCTAACAGAAGTTCTTCGGTGTCTATCCAGTAGAACGTTGCAGTTGAATCTGGCCAAAATCTTACAACAAATTCAATTTGTAAAACGGATTATAGAGCCTTATAAAGGTTTCCCGGTAACACTGCAACACATAATATCGATTTAAGCAGCGAAATCGACTTTAAAGGCCGGCACAGACTGAACAAATATTGTTCTTTGACGATAGAGCTGCTATTGATGAATTTATTGAGAGGAGAGTACACACGTACACAATGGGTGAACATTGTTCGCCTACGCATGATTAAATAATATTGAGAGGGGAGCACACGCGTACACAATGCGTGAACAATGTACATGTACGCATGATTAAATAAGTTCGCTATGGATTTAATTACGGAAAGATTACAAATGCAATTCTGTTTAGCCTTCAATAATTGTATATCGATCGAAATGTGAGATCTCGATGCCATTTTTATTATGGTCTGGGCTAAGTTAAAAAATTTGTTCGAAAGATCCAAATGTTAAAATTGTCAGGATAATTCCTAGGTATTCACAAGTTTGACAGTTTGGCTCAATACCCTTAAAAACAAGTGTCTTATTCGAATCTACTGATTCGAGGGCGGTTTTAGTTCACCTTAACGAAGGTTCCTCACGTCAGGATCTCTCTGGGCGTAGTCATTTCTAGAAACCAGCTCGGGTGTCGCCTGGCCAAGTTCCTGGTACGTGACGTCACGGCCGATGACGTCACTGCCCGATGAATTACCACGGAAGACCATGGTAATATACTCGAACGTTTATATACTCGCTGGTGACTCGTAACGAGTTCGTCATCCCATTTTGTTTTCCCCCTATAAATTACCACTTACATTCATCTTCGTGTTTTTGTACTGACGCAATTTCGGTAGATTATATTTTTACAGTTCACTGCTATTTACGTTCATTTTTGTGTGTTAGAATTGAAAGAAGTCGGATAAACACGAGTTCGTCATCACGAAGGTGTAATAAAGTTGTAAATTTCATGGTTTAAAAGTGAACTTGTATGCGATAATTGAAGATCCCGAGTAATTGTTCTTGCCGCTGTTACTTCTTTGATGGCGTTACAATTAGCAGTCTTGACCCGGGTATGAAGTTTGTTTCAACGTTTAACGAAATCTTTGTCGCGAAAGAAAAGGATCCGTTGTTTCAGCCCCAAGTAACCACTCCTAGTGTTACAGAAGGCGAAAAGTGTCATTAATTAAAGCATTCCGAGTACGCTCTGACTCGCGTAGGTGCACTCCTTTAAAAAGTGGCTAAAGTGCAGAACCGTTGCCGTTTGTTCCACCGCATTATGAGTACGGTTCACTCGAACGCATTCACAGGAACCTGCGTAAAGTACGTACTCCATCCGAAGAGGTCATATGCACTTGTCATAGGCGAAATTCAAGAATTTTCTTTTCTAACTAAAATGCATTTTTTAATGCATTCACCATGCAATACCGTCAGCTACTCATTTTTCAAATTTTTCAAAGTGTAAAAAGTGTAGGCAAAACGAACGAACCTAATGTCCCGATTATGATTCGGTTCGGTATGTCCAGGGGGTGCGATCTCGACCTCGCTTTTTATCGGTGCCACTTGGTCCTCTAAGAATAACACTTGACCTTGGGTGCGCGCATGCGCGCGGCCTCGGCCTCGACGTAGTTGGTCCGCAATTAAGCCAAATGTAATCGCATGATCCGATAGGGATGACAAAAAATTTGTTCCAAAAATCCAAATTTTCAATGTGTCGAGACAATTCTTAGATGATCAGGAGTGACGTGTCAAAGATTCGGACAGTTTGGTCTAATACCCTTAAAAAGAAGCGTTGTGTTCGAATCGACCGGTTTGAAGGGGGTTTCACTTCACCTTAAGTTTAATTAAATAGGAATACCTACGATCCGCGTAAAGGATGTCAGCCCTGACCCGTGGGGAGACCGTTGCAGGAGCTCCGACTTGGTCTTGGGCCCGAGGGGAGAATCGGCCGAGTAAAATTAGCTTACTCTCCCGCGTCGACGCGGAGGGACATCATCCGCGCGGCTGTCGTGACGCCCGACACAAAGATCTCCGGCCGAAGGGAGACCTGACTCGAGGAACATTTCCTATGGATCGGCCAGACTATTTTCTGAAATTTTAACAGCTCGTTTTAGACTGCCTTGTGGACGCCCCGATGAAAAGGCATTTCCTTTTAACCTTTTCGCTACGGGGCAATCCCAACGAAGACGCCCTTAAGGGGATGTGAAAACCCCCTTGATTTTTCGTTAATTGTACGGTTTTTCCATTTTCAAGGACCCAGGGACACCCTTTTCCTTTGTCCGATTAAGCTCAAATTTTACAGGAATTATTTTACATAAAATGGAACCAAATGGGGTAGCGTGAAGAAACACAAATAATTCGTCTAAAATAATTCGTGGAGAAGAAAATTCAAACTTTGAAAAGATGAACCACCCTAACTTTAGTTGTACTCAAAGCACGGGGGTGCACGGGGTGCACGGGGTGCACGGGGTGCACAGAGTTCACGGGCTGCACCGACTGCGACGGAGAGGGGGTGCCCGGAAACGAGCTGCGCAGGGTGGGTCTCGGGACTCTGGACTAGATCGATAATGCATCTCTTGACGGGCGTAGTTGCTCTTAGATAGTCGGGATATACCCATATACCCTTTTCAACCGATGTATAAATGTTTATTGGCAAAAATCAAAAAACACGTATTTCCTCATTTATCGTGAGCAATCACATGACGTAAGTGGAACTTAAGTAGGAGTGCTTGTTCGATAGATATTAGAACAAATATTTCGCTCGAAGGGTAGTTCATTCCCTTGAGGTGGTGTAGCATTCCTGGGCAATATTGTGTTTTCAACGTCCTTATACAAAATACGTGTGTGCCAAGTTTCGTCGAAATCCCTCCGCCGCTTCTACGAAAATTAATATGAAAATCGAATTTTCGCCACACTTAAATGTGGACCATTGCAGATATAAAAAAACACGTGTCACTTAGATTTTTGTGTTCTTCGACATATATGAAAGCAATAAGATCGGTGGTGGACCCTTGTTAGTCGGCGCCGATCGCTCTCTTCTTCTCCGAGACTTCCGGTAAGTCGGCTAGGGGAGAGCTCGACTTCCGGTTCTTCCGGACGATCCCCTCGCGTGCGACCGGTGGACGAGTGACTCCCCTCGTAGGGGTTGCGTGTCATCCTCCCTACGCGATTGCGGGGGTGGCGGGTCCCGAATAGAGTTTTACCCTCAAAGTGCGGAAATAAATGTTGCCGTGTCCATTACATGTGCTCGCGCATAGAAGTATTAACCCCTTGACATACAATTCATTTCGTGTGCCATTGTAGACCTTGACGTCTCCGAGAAGTAATGTACTTAGTAATTTACCGTAAAAGATTACGTAAATTACCTAGGGTACTTTACTTTCACTCAACCCTGTGTACTGTTAATCGTGGCTGTCCGTACGAAGGACCGACGTGTCTAACGAAACGTCGTTTCCGTTTTTCAGAACCTCAACACGATGTACTGATCCCGGAGGTGACGGATAATGCGGCAGATAGCGAGGACTCCGAGGACGAGTGGAATTATTACCGCATAGACAGCAACCGGGGAAAGGAGTCTCGAGACGCCGACGAAGAGGCGAAGAAGCGAAAGCCCGACCAGGAACAGGACTATCCGCGAGCTGGCGAAGAACCGGCCATCGAGTTAGAACCGAAAGAAGAAGTCCTGTCCGACGACAACGAAATTAAGGGGCAGGGGGTGGAAGAGAAGGAGGAGTCTCCGCTCTTGGAATTCGCTACGAAAGATGTAGGCATTTGCGACATTTCTCTAGTAGAATATATCTAGACTAAGGTCGAACTATTCCGAAATGATGTCCTTTAATGGGAGTTTTCAAGCGCGGAAGCAATATAATCGTCAAATCATCGTAATCCCATCACTGGTTTAATTAAGAAAATGATACTTTCAGATCAGCGTCGAAAGAGGCTCTCCCGAGGACGCCGTCTCGCCGAAGCCAGCCGAGGACCAGGGTGAAGACATGGACTTCCCGTTGAACCCCAACGCAGCCGAGTTCGTCCCCGTGACGCCATCCAGAGGGATACCACCCCTGGTGAACGTGAACAGAGACCTGCTGTTGTCCGGATCCCCGATGAAGCAGCCGACGTCGATGGAGGATATCTCCGTGCCCAGCGAAAAGGAATTCGCCCAGGAGATATGCCAGCGTCCCCACGAGGTCGCGGAGGAGTGCGCGAACGGCGAGGAAACGTCCACTGCCTCCGACCTGGTCGACTTCTTGATGGACAAGCGAAAAGAAGTCACCGGGCCAACGGTTGGTTCCGACGAATTCGAACTGTCTTCGACGAAGGCCGAGTTTGGCGACGAATCCTCCACCAGCTTCATGACCGGCAGCGACCTCTACGGCACCATGGGTGTGTCCACCATCGATGGCTCCTTCGAGGCCGAGACCAACAGCGAGGAGCTCGTTTCCAAGCATCCCATGACCATGTCTTTCACCCCTGGCGACTTCGCGGTGGCTTTCGAGAAATGCGTGGACCTGAACGCGGTGCACGACTTGAGCGACGTCGAGATCATCACCGGCGAAAACGGGGTTAATATCGAGGAGAAATGCGCCTCGCCGTCCTCGGACATTCAGCTGGATCTGGTCAACCTCGCGGTGACTGGCTCCACCTTGCGGCCAACGGCGGAACCATTCGTCATCAACGAGTCGTCCCCTCGGATGGACTCGTCCTCCCCTTTGCCTTCGCACGAGGCTCCGGATGCTCTCTCGGAGACGGGAGAATCCGAACATTCTACCTTCGGTCAGCATCCCGAGACACGGCAGGATTCGGAATTGCGCCATGTAGAACACGAGAATGAGAAGGAGTTCTCGCAGAAGTTGGACCATCTCATGTCGGAGGTGACTTCGACGGCGAAGTTTGCGGGCGAGGACAGTCCCGATTGCGAAGTGATTCAGGAATCTCCGTCTCCACGGGATGGAAATGGACACGAGCTGGAAATGGACGTACAAGAACACGGGGAGCGGGATATCGAAGAAATATCGGAACGTAAGCTCGACGAGGACCTTCCGCAGGACCTCTTGGGGCTGCAAGAGCCAGCTTCCGGTTTGGCGCAGGCGGTATCTTCCCTTTCGCTCGATACGAACAGATCGGACTCCGTTTCCCCGCAGTTGGTCGAAACGGAAGAGCACGAAGTGGCTTTGTCAACGGAAGAGCGCGAAGCGGCTTTGTCAACGGAAGAGCACGAAGTGGCTTTGTCAACGGAAGAGCACGAAGTTGCTTTGTCAACGGAAGAGCGCGAAGTGATTTTGTCAACGGAAGAGCGCGAAGTGGTTCTGCCAACGGAAGAGCGCGAAGTGGTTTTGCCAACGGAAGAGCACGAAGTGGTTTTGTCAACGGAAGAGCGCGAAGTGGTTGTGTCAACGGAATCTACAGACGTGATTGCCGCGTGTCCTCAAGATTCGACGTCTGCGACGCAGAAAGCATTTGACATTGCTGAGTCCGCGGGAATACCGGGAGCCGATTCCTTTTATCCTTCGTTTGGTTTTAACTCCGCGAGTAATGAATCCCCGAGTAATTTCGATGTACCCATTTCGCATAATCCCTTCGACGTTGAACCGACGTTGGCAGAGTTCAACGTGAATGTGGAACATGCGAGCGAACGGCCTTTGGAGGAGCCATCGAAGGAGGATTTGGTCCCATCCTTCGAACAGAAGGACACCGTGGAATTTGTTAAGGAACAGGATTCCAACACGTGCCAGGTTGAATCGGTCGAGTTAATAGATGATAAATCCCTTCGGCAGGAGGACGCGTGTTTGCTGCCTTCTCGGGAACTGCACGAGAGCTTCGTCGACCACGAGAAAGATCTTTTGCAAAACGAGGTACTTGAAACATCTGGCATCCAGATAGAGGAATCTATGGTGGATACTACTTATAGAGAGTCACCGGTGCTGAAACTGTCCGAGTCGATGCAAGAGTTTACGGGATTGGAGCAACAACTCGCTCCTGAAAAGGGCACCCCGACGAGCAGCGTCGCGGTACCAGAGGTCGAGGAAACTCCAATCGTTCCTGTAGTTGACCTTGCCCAAGCTCCACAAGAAGAAGAACATCTTGTTACTTCTGAAAACTTAATCGCGCCCGTAATCGTACCCGAAATCGCACCTGAAATCGCGCCCGAAATCGCACCCGAAATCGCACCCGAAATCGCACCCGAAATCGCACCCGAAATCGCACCTGAAATCGCGCCCGAGAAATCGCACCCGAAATCGCACCCGAAATCGCACCCGAAATCCTGCCCGAAACACAACAGCCAGAGAGTACGACAGAAACGTTACCAGAGGAAGATGCGGCGAAAGCAACAGATCCCGCCATCGTTGATCCGGTTACCGCTGTGGCGGAAACAGCTGCTGTAGTAGCTGTCGCAACCGCAGTTGCAGCTACGATCACCACCGCGGCGGTTGGCAAAACAGCGAAAACCTCTAAGCCATCAACCAAGGCCCCGAAAGTCCCAGCGACAACGAAGACTGCGACGAAGTCTACCCCGACCTCGCCGACGAAGACTGCAGCCGCGACAACGACCAATCGAACGAACGCTATCGCTCCGACGAAGAAGGTTTCCTCCAGCACCGCGACTCGTCCTAAACAGTTGGACACCAAACCCGCGACAGGTGTGGGTGCAGCGAAGACTTCCGGTGTCAAGGCGACCTCTGCGGCCAAAGCGAGTACCACGACGACGACGACGACCAAGTCGGTCACCCTGTCGACCAAAGCCAAACTCAATGCCGCTTCCCCTAAAGCTGCAACTGGAGAGAAGCCGGAGAAAAAGCCGCTGGCCAACGGCGACGCGAAACCCCTCGGCAAGCTACACCCCGGCGTAGCTTCGAAGACGACGAGCAAACCCGCCGGCGCCGCCCCCGCGTCCAAGACCACCCTAGTCAATAAGCCAACGACGTCCGCGACCTCCAAGCCCCCGCTTCAGAACTCGCTGGCGACAAAGTCGAGGCCAGCCTCGACGACCGCGGCCACGAGAACCGCGACCAAGAGTTCAACGGTTAGCACGGTTGGCAGTGCCGTTGCACCTTCCGCCTCCGCTGCGCGGCCGAAAACCGCACCCGGGACAACCGCAACGAAAACGCGCATCTCCGCTGCCAAGTCCCCGGTGACGGAGAAGCAAACGAAGGAGACAGCCAACAAGCAGATCTCCTCAGCCAGGGCTGCGACCGCCAAGCCTCGAACCGTGTCCGTGGCTTCCGCTGCCAGCGCCACCGCGACGGCAAGGCGTACTACCGCGACAACGACGAAGACCGTTTCCTCATCGACCACTTCGCCTATCAAGAAGCCCAGTTCCGGGTTGAAGACGGCGACGAAAACCTCCACCGGGTCGAAGACCACCGCCAAGGTCAGCGTGACCTCCACGACGAAGACGGTCTCCAAGGTGGTGCAAAACGGCGTCTGCGAGGCCCAGAAGACCACGACCACCGTCACCGTGACAGACAAGACCATCGTAGAACCGGACCTGCCAAAGAAGGACCTCTCCCCTGTGGCAGCGCCCACTGACAATCAGCTGATCGCGACGGCTGACTGAACGGCCGACCCTGAAGAGCGAGCGGAACCTCTCGAGTGCGAGCCCCGACTTTCTACGCCAATGCGAATCCCGGTATAATAGCTTGTGGCGCCTCCACTGTGTAACGTTGTGGCAATAGTCTCTTATATATGTGTATACATGTTATATGTATATATATAATATGTATTCTATATATAAGTTTCTTCCCCTTCCTCGCACGGCCGTTTTACGCAGACGCGACAGTAGATAGGGAGAGTACGGCTAAATCCATACATTTCTATCATACCTACGTAATAAAATACAAAATAATAATATATTATAGATATATCTATTAAAAGTAACGGAAAAAAAAAAAACTACTGTCCTATTTGTAACCAGGGAGGCATTATTACCTTCTCGTAATATGTATCATCTATCGCTTGACTGCTTCGGTGTGCTGTGCGTTTGTATCGACAGATTATATAGAAACAGGAAAATTGAAGAAAATAGAAAAAAACTCGGCGGTGAGACGAGACCGGAAATGGGGGGACAAGAGGAAATTCGGACTTTTGTTGTGTAAATAATGAGTGGATATTAATAGGCATGAATTCGAAGCGTTGCTTCCTTTTCTTTTTAATAACTTGAGGGGGAGTGCAGGGACGTCTTTCTAGATCGAGTCAAGGTCGACGATTATTACTCCCGTAATGTGAAACTGGATGGTCTTTTTTATATTTTTTAATTTTATATGTTTACTGTAATTGATAATAATCAATCGTTGTACTTCACGGAGTCTTATTTATTTTTTCCGTTTGTTCCTATCTGAAGTTGAGTACATAACGCTCTATCACCATCATTTAGGTACCTACCGTCTGTGTACAGCACCCTTATGATTTAATGTGATATCATTATTATTATTAATATTATTACTATTATTACTATTACTATTATTACTATTATTATTATTATTATTATATTGAATAATTTCGACCAGTATGAGGAATAAAATTTATTAAAGAAAGAATAAAACCGTAAGGAGGTTGTGTTTCACTAGATGATCCTTTTTGTTTAAACCGAACATTGATTGACACGATTTTGTTTATTGTATGCGCCCAGATAACACTCTTATGTTATATGAATTATTTACATATGTTTAAGTAGGATGTTTCGTCGTTTCCAGAATATTCTGCAAATATTTAAGACGTACAATGAATATTCGTGGGGGAATATTTAGATATTCAGAAAATATATCCTCGAGCTGTTACTAAAGAATTGCATGTATATTACAGGAAAATTACCAACACACGAATATTGTATACCGATAATAAATCTTCAATCTTGTTCTAATATAAGTAATATTTATACGCGGTAAATTACAGGGTAGAAAGTAATCTAACGACAGCATGTAAAATGCTTAATAAAAAAAAGAACATGCCGGTAACATTTTCCGTATTGTACGTAGAATGTGAATATTCTATATACTGGCCGATGCAAATAAATCAACAATTGCATTTTATGACTATCATATAAATGAAGATTTCTTTGATTTTCTATTGTTTTGTGAGTGCGAGAATTTGTTTCTATTTTGAATTGATTCGAAATGGAAAATAATATGTTTATTGCAGAATCAAAGGGTAATAATTCTAAATGAAGTTCGTACAAATTTTGTTCAGAACATTCTGAGCATGTTCTAATTTATTAATGTACACGTAGAATGTCTATCAAGTACTTAAAATATTTAGAGAATGTTCATAGACTCAATGGTGTTATCTGGGAAACTGTTCATTTTCTAGTACAATAGTACAAAGAATAGTTTGTCAATAAGTTAATTTTGATTACAGTAAAAATGAATTTTTTTTTGTTTTACTTTGGTAATTCACATCAGAACTAAAAATGTGAAATTTGTATTTAATTGTCGAGGTGGGGTAAAAGTGGAAAGTATATGAAAGGTAGGTATTTTCTAGGACGATTGCAATTACAGCGATGATGGCTTATCATTCATCCATATTTATTCGATAAGGATTTATATACGTTGAGTACAGTTCCATAAAAGTGGTATCTTCGATTATTAAAGCCTGAACTGATAGTGGAAAATAATTATAATATTATATTGAATTAAACCCCGCTTTAAATCGTTATACTGTGTTAAACTAATTTAATAGTAATTATACTGCGTTAAACTGTAAATGATATCAAATCGTAGTACTATCTCGACGTTTAACATATCGTGACCTTAAATGTTACAGGGTTGACAGGTTGATAATTGATAAAAAATAATTAAACCCGTAGAAAGTGGAAAATGATGTAAATTTAAAAATGTTTGTAAATCAGTAGCTACCAATATCCGAATCGTAGATACGATCACTTGGAATATTTCATCTAGCTTACAAGTTAAAGACCATAAAAAACACAATGTAATCGATTAGGAAAAAGAAACGGAAATTGACATTTTTTAATTGCAATTATAATTAATTCCACGCAGGCATTGAGAAATGGATGTAACTTTTAAAGCCTTTTGTAAAAGCGTCTTGCCTTCGTACTCTGCTTACTGTGAGACAGGTTCTGGAAAAATATGAAATCACGGGTGAGATTAGTAAAAATTAATTGATCAATAAATACGCATTTTATTAAGTGCGCGCAAAACTTAATTATTTAAGCGTTATTATAATAGATTGCACGGTGCTTACCACGATCAAGTGCGTATCAGTGAATTCAAAATTTCTTGTGGTTATCGTACCATCCGGCATGTACGTCTCTGTCATCATTTTGTCTCCAACCATCTTGGTGATGCTCTAAAACCGACATTTCAATTACACATAATTTACCATCCCGTTGTGAATGATTTTTACCCGAAATGATATTAAATGAGTTTTTAGTAATATGTTTGTACAATTTATCATTATCAGTTCTGAATAGCGTCATTTGTCGTTGCAGTCACAAGATTGAAGTAAACCTTCAAAGACTTCTTTTGTTTCAAGTTCACTTAAATTAATTAAGGTGTGAAGTCAGCCTCAAATCAGTCGATTAGAATAACACTTTTTTTTTTAAAGGGTATTGCACCGAACCGACCAAAACTTTGACACTTGATTCGCGAGCACCGAGGAATTGTTCCGACACTTTCAAAATTTGGATTTTACTAACTAATTTTTACTAATTAAACTACTTTTTTTTTTTTTACTAATTTAAGCTTAAGAAAAGCTGCGTTCGGCTGTCCGCGGTGTAGCAGCCTTACCGGCGTACTTTCCGTTGGGGAACGCGATTGCTTGACCGTGCTTCAATTAATTATTACAGGAAATGTATGCACTGTAGGAAAAAATGGTACAGGACTTTTCGACTCCTTTTTCAACAAGGATTACCGCTGTATAAATCGCGACTACGTCCGGTTACATCCTATATTGGTAATTTGAATTGTCCAACCTTGAGTTTGGCACCGTAGAGCATGGACTCGGTGTAGGGCTCCCCTAGTTTGAAGGTCGAGGTGAACGGTTTGCCATCGTTGACGACGTCGATGGTCCATTCGTCGCCGGACCCTCGAACCTCGATGACCGGCTTGCTCTTGACGAAGGTTTTGACGTCGTTGATTTGTTCGCTGCCGACGATCGACATCAAGAACTCCTCGAAATTCTCGTTTCTCTCGTACTGGTACTTGCCTTCGATCGGTGCCATCTTTTCGGTTAGTCGTACGGCTTGTGCTGTCTCGATTGGATTCTAAGAGGCAGATCTCTCGCTTTTATTGGGTCGATCACGTAATCGCCTGTACGATCGTTGCTCCGGCATTGGAACGTTTTTGATTAGATCGCTGCACGTGGAGGGGCTCCTTCCGGTTTGTCGTATCGCTTTCCATTTCATTTTTATAATGCGCCCGAGGAAGCACGAAAAAAAAATAATTTAGGTGCAATCATTATAGTTAAAATACTGTGGGAAGTAAAACCACACAAATGGTAAATGTAACCTTGCCAATAGGTACCGTATCCATGGCGCTGCGCTTAAAAGGTGCAGTGATCAATATTTGGAATGGTAATATTAACTACATGAAGAGGTTATGATACGCACAATAAAATGGAAGGTTTATCTGGGAGCTGTAACCACAATTATGGTCAGATTTTACCCGTTGCACGGTTATTCTAAACTTCCCTATGCGATTGCAGAAACGATGATTTGGCCCCATTAGTTTCGACATAAGTATTCGAAATAATGGAATAACATGTGATATTTTAATAACTTTAATAAAGTATAATTAAATCGATTAATACTAAACACGGTTACAAGGGAATGTGTAAGGAACTATCCTACACCTGCACGTGGCATGTGCAATCTCATGAACATGATGTAATCATGCACCGCTTGAATAAAGTCTTGACTTTTGGACTTGGAAAAGAATCGTAATTAAAACCTTGAGTAGGAGTGGTGCAGTCCTGACACATCGCGGTATCATTTTGTCTAGAGCGACAATAAAATTTATTGTCTACTGGCGGGAACACGTAGGAGTAGCGAGGATGGATACATTAAATGGTGTAAAGGTATATTACGTGAGAGTAGTGTATGATCTAAATTTAAAGCGTACTTTAAGAGTATAAGACATGTTTAATAGACTGTATTAACTGTAGCCATTATATTAAATTGTTAGTTATTACTTTTAAGGTGACGTGAATGTGACCTCTGAAGCGTGAAATAATTTGTAAAATCGGGTTCGCTGAATTGTTTGCAACTTTATCCACGTCATTGTGGAAGCCTTAAGGAAGGTCCTGGTACCCATGAAATTGCACTTTAAAACATTTTTTATTTATCCCAGGTTAAAATCAAGATGAGATCGTCAACATGTTTTCGATATTTTACGTATATATAAATATTTAACCCTTTGCACTCGAGGACTTTGCCATTCCAGTTGCCAGCGGCGCCATACGAGGGCAAAGGGTAATAGAACTAATGAGACTTGCATCGTTACGTATTCTTAATTAGTGAAAAGTCTCTCTCTTTTTCTTCATCCTTCTGGGTCGTTATTTTAACTCTGTTTAATTTTCCAAGTAATAAAGGCCGCAACGTTATCTAGTCTTATCTCATCCTTAAATCAACCATCATCCATCCGGTATCATGATTTTTAGGAACAACGTGTATCTATGAACGGCGACAAGTTTTCTTTTTACGTCACCTTTGTTAGCTAATTAGAATTTTCTTTTCTGAAGAATTAAGGGAGCTTTATGATTTCCCGTAGAGTCATTTTACGTGCAGAAATAATATTGAATCATCGACCGTATCATGTATTATCATCTAAATGTCATATTTGATGAACAAGCGCTTCTGATAATAACTCATTAGTTAAAATCTTCGTAACCTAGCAGAAGTCATATGTTGTCGTCCATCTGCGGCATTCTTCATTTGGAAACGTAATTTACTAGTTTTCTACGTTAATTTCGGTAATCTACTTTGTTACGTAACATACGTCAAAAAACCTGAAAAAGGGAGAATTATCCAACTCTGACATCACGATTTACTTTTGAATCGAATTAAACCCCAGCGATGATGCTGGGATATCAAAAAATTGCTTAAATACTCTTCAGTATTCCCCTCCACGGAAATCTTTAGTAAAAGGCGAAAGATTTATGCGATGACTGAAGGGAAACAAGAGCAACGCTACATACGGCACGGAGACCTTATATTCAATCTGGACATCAACTGTGCTTGCGAGAAAGATGCGCGCGTAGCGGCGAATATCCGAATTAAAATATAAATGTCTAGCAAAGAGTATAGAGAGGCAAACGACAATTTCTATATTATTTTAGTTGCTTAATGTAAAGAGTAATGAGGTATTCCACGTACGTGACAAGGAGGAATGAGAATAATATTGTTAAAAAAAGTTAAGAATATAAGGACGAAGAAATTTACAGTAATATTGGTTATGTATACGTGGCCATACAAAGCCAACTACTTATAAATGTTGTGGCTCATAATACTTAAAGATTTGATAATACTGAAAAGGATATTTAATGTTACTCGGCCACAATCTCAGGTTAAATATATGTATGTTTAAGCAAGTGAAGTAATATAAACATTATCATTTTCCTCCCTATACTCTGCTATATCACTTGGTACTTTAATTCGGATTTTCGCCGCTACGCGCGCATCTTTCTCGCATGCGCGGTTGATGTCCAGATTGAATATAAGGTCTCCGTGCCGTATGCAGCGTTGCTCTAGTTTCTCTTCATTCTTCGCATAAATCTTTCGCCTTTTACTAAAGATTTCCGTGGAGGGGAATACTGAAGAGTGTATAAGGAATTTTTTGGTAACCCAGTCAATGCTGGGTTGTAATTCGATTTAAAAGTAGACCGGTTGACGCATTGAAGTTTTTCTTGCATTATAACGCCCGGTTACACCAATCTCGGTCAACATATTAACATTCAGTTACAATAAGTTGAACGTGTAAAGTGATATGACAGAACCAGCCTATATATATCTGAGAAGTCAAATTGTTGGTGAAAGTATCTCCGAAATGGATGGTACTGATTTTTTTCAAATTTCACCATGTCAATATGGAGGCCCTAGAGTAGATCCTAAAACTCATGAAATTTCATTTTTCATTCAAAATTTATTTATTTATTTATTTAACATGGCGGGCCGGGTACGTTTTCGATGTTTTACATGTTTTCTTGGAGGCTTGAATCGAAAATGAATTTTAGGGCCTAGCATCTTAATGTACGAGGTACTTATTTAATCCATAAATAATATAATTTTGGACCGAATTAAACCCCAGCGATGATGCTGGGATATCAAAAAATTGCTTAAATACTCTTCAGTATTCCCCTCCACGGAAATCTTTAGTAAAAGGCGAAAGATTTATGCGATGACTGAAGGGAAACTAGAGCAACGCTACATACGGCACGGAGACCTTATATTCAATCTGGACATCAACTGTGCTTGCGAGAAAGATGCGCGCGTAGCGGCGAATATCCGAATTAAAATATAAATGTCTNCGAATCAAAATATAAATGTCTAGCAAAGAGTATAGAGAGGCAAACGACAATTTCTATATTATTTTAGTTGCTTAATGTAAAGAGTAATGAGGTATACCATGTACGTTACAAGGAGGAACGAGAACTATATTGTTATAAAAAAAGAAAGAATGTAAGGAAGGTATTTTTTGTAAGGATTTTTTGGTCGAAAAATGAAATTTCATGAGCAGCGCGTTATACTTTAGGGCTTTCATAATCACGTGTTAATGTTTCGGATTATTCGGTGCACCCAATTTGGAGAAACGTTTTATAAATATGTTGACTTTTTGGTACGTATATATCACACTTTCATATCACCTTAAAATGAGCAAACAATGTAAGTAAACTTCTGATGTTTTCAGGACAGAAACTCATTTCTTTGCGCCACGCGCGATACCGCAGGGGAAGGCATTGGTTATTCTATGTTGAATTTTTATTATATTTGTATTTGTATTTTAATAATCAGAACCAAACATAGGTGGTGGCTGGAAATTGTTACATCTTGGAAACCCTCTTGGGACTGGAGGAAGATCATGTGCTTCACCTACTTGAAATGCCAAGTCCATACCAACGGCCGTATGCCATGTGAAATGACAATGATAAAACCACCATCCTGGAAATCAAGAGACGATACATTTAAACCTTAACAATGAGGACAACAGTGTAGAGTAAAGTGGTTAAAGAGAAAACTAATAACTAAATTACATGCAACAAAATTCGTTTAAATCAACAATATAATTTTGTTCTCAATAAAGTAATGTATGATTCAGGCAACAATATATAATTGTTTCAGTCAACTAATTGTCTTTCTCAGTGCATGTATAGAGCTACGGTTACACAGAAATAAATATTTTGCGTTTTGGCTGGCTCATGTGATAGAAATACAAATACAGTAGCGATTTGTAAGGTACCACCAAGAAACAATGCAATTGCAACGTGAATCATTTTTCGAAATAGAAATACATTGTTTACCTGGATTATCAGCCTTAAATCGAAAGATGACCCAGCCACCATTAGGAACCACAACTGTATCTTTTCCAGAAGGCCGATGATATCCGTTGGATTTTAGTTTTTTTACATGTCGCTGTATTACGCTGTTGATGTCATTTTTACTAATTTTTCTGCCATCCGTAAAGCGACCAACATCGAAGACTTTAAACGCGTATCCATGAAGATGAAATGGATGATACAAGTCAGGCTGTGGATCTATAACGATGCAATTATAATATTTTCTTCGAAAGGACACACATTAAGGTGAAGTGAAACACGTCGAGGAACTTGGTCGACGTCGGTAAAAAAGGTTTTTCTAAATACCTACGTTGCCGATGTTCGTTTTTATATTGACAGCTGTGTCGAATTATATTGAGTATTGTACTAAATAGCATAATTAGTCTTATTCGAGTCGACTAATTTGAGGGGGGTTTCACTTCACCTTAAAGTATATCAACGCATGCATTCTCGTTGGCACTCACCTTGGTCATAAATAATCACCTCGACCATAGAGTTTAACTTTACGGGAAGTACATGAAAGCAATTACACGGATCTGAACAATTTTCAGGTAACTTGTTGCGATTACAAATCGGCGTTTGAACATGTTGAGAAATAGGGGGCCCAGGAGGTGATTGATAACTGATACCGTCAACTGTAGATGTAACAATATCGTTAGAAACAGCAACTGTAAACAAAATGGATTATTACCTTTTTTCTTAAAGTAACTTTACGTAATAAAGAAGAGAAAGTATCTACCGAAGAATTGCTTGTAATTATTGCCTCGGAAGAAAGTATTTTGAGTTGAATTATAAGAATAAATAGCAAATGGTAAAGCGAATCGATAATCCGGTTCCACTTTATAATATTCCTTATCTACTTCATTTGCAGCACGTAATTGATTATAGCAGATGGAACCTTGTTGTTCCGTGTTACATTCACTATCTAATGGGTTATACAGCTGAAACGTTAAAATATTTCGTTGCAGTTAATTTTTTAATATTTATCATGAGGATGAATTCTCGCATTTCGTGAGTAAGGCGTGTTACTAAATACATATGATAGTATATGCTGAATGCGTAGGGCATGTAATTTTCGAATTATTAGAAATATTTTTGGTAAATTGATCATACTCACTATGCCTTGAGATAAGCCTTGAAAATATCCCGGCGGTGGACTATTTGGCATTTGGACATTTGCTGAGTATGTCAAAATCGCAAGTTGACCAACACGTTTTTCTTGGCATTCACCGAGTCCACGTACTTGAATCCAGTAGGCTGTAGTAGTTTGATTGGCAGTTAGGATGAAGTCAACCCGTTCACCTAATTTAAACGAAAATTAGTTGATATAATAAGTATATAATAAAAAATATAATAAAGAAATTCAGTTCGGGTTCAAATGGACCCGAAGAAAGCAAACAAATTAAGATAAAATATCGCTCACCAGATCCTGTGATTATAGTATTTACAAGCCGCGGCTCAACATTTTCTCCGTCTTGAGCAATTAATTGCAAAGTGTGCCCTTCGACTGCAAACTCCGCTAAACAAACTGTACTGAAGGAGTTGATAACTCGGAATCGATACCTTTTTCCAGGTTTTACTTGGAATACTTCTACTGGAGTTGTGGTCGTAGTATTTGTGTTTGGATCCTGGAGAGAAAAGATAAATATAAGTACGATAATCAGCCACTTAAAAAGGAAGCAAAATCTCAGAAGAAATTATTTTTGCCAACACGACGAAGGCCCGTGTAAACGACTGTCTACAATATCCTGTTAGATACGGCTTCAGGGCACTCACCACTCTATTTTCAATGCTTCACAGAGAGAGAAAAGTTTTATAAATACGTTGACTTTTTGGTACGTATATATTACACTTTACGTGCACTGGGAGACATCAATGCCGTCCCATCCTGCACAGGCGATGCCGTATCTGCAGGGGAGGCAATCATGTCCGCCATTGTACGTATTTATCATCACCTTAATACTCACCATGAACCTTCCACGACCATTGATCAATATGTCGTCAGGAGATTGTCCTCGAAATTGAGGATTACGAAACAGTCCGGGAAGCTTTTCCATTGACAAATAATGCATATAATCGCTCAAGACAATGACGTGTGTCGGAAGATCAAAGTCGAATAAAGAGCCATGTGGATCTTCGCTTACTGGTTCTCGTATGATTAAACTTCCGTACTGCCCATCGATTTTATGCACCGCCACATGGGAGTGATAAAAGTGAGTACCTGCATTTTGTGCGGTGAATTGGTACCTTGAAAAACCACTTGCAATTACGTAGTTGTTCGACAATAATGTAAAGCAAAATGCCTGAAGAAAGTATCATACTCCCTATAAGAGTGCTTGGAATTTGGAATCTTCTCTGAAGCAAGCTTTCTCAATTTTTAGTGGAGGTCAACTCGATATTTGAGATGAAAATTTCACGTTACCTGAATGTCGTACGGGAAGTTATTGGGCACTGCGTTAATTGGGGTACACCGTCATAGTATTGGAAGCCATTTTGAAAAAGTCCGTGCCAATGCAGAGTAACTTCAACGCCTTCGATGTCGTTTTCAACGTCGATGATGATATTGTCATGTAGACAAACCTACGTAAACACCTTTGATTACTGTTTGTAGCCATCTAATATCTACTTATATTACTTTGAAAATTGACAATCAATAATAATATAAAACGGTTTACAGACCTGGATACTTGGGCCAGGAAGCATCCTATTAATGGAAAATATTGTTTTCTCAATTCCATCACCTTCTACACATTGACACCAAGGTATAGAGGTAAGTTGATTTGTTACGTTAGATGAACATAGTTCACAAGCTCTGGAAAAATGTTTACATACAATGAACAATTCATTTTATTGTATCATATTCCGTACATACATATATAAATTATGGTCTGGGATGTGAATATAATTACTTGGTTTAAAGTGCGACATGACTAGGCTCAATATTCTACCGACATAGTTACTAGCACAAACATAAATTCATGAAAAATGTAGGGCCTACATAATATTATGACTTACCTGCCATAAGATGTATAATATTCGAGTCTGAAGTGGTAGTAACAAGTTTTAGGCGGTTGGTCGCTTTTACAAGTTCGTATGCATTCTTCCGGACGCGACCATTCGTCACTCTCTGTACAAAAATGTATATTTGAATTGAAAATTAGTTTAAAAAATACTCACTTACCACGGGACAATAGTTTTACCACTTCGCGAATGTGAAGAACGCATTGTTATTAAATTAACCCTTTGCATTCGAGAGGTGACTCTCGATTTGGTTTGATGCGAATACCCGATCGGCAACAAGACGTATGTATTATATTATTGTATTATATATGTACAATAACGTATGTGAAATCATTTTAAGTCAGCTGGATGAAATTTACCAAGTATGCGGAAAATCGTTCCGAGTTGCTGGTTCGTCCGGGCGAAAAAGGCCAAAAAAGGAAAATGCAAAGGGTTAATGTTGCAATCTAATGTATGCAACGAGTGAACAGAAGGAATACATACGTTGTGCTGTTGATGAATGAAAAAATCCTAGGAATATCAGAATAATGATGGAAAAGCGCTTCAATAAGAGTCGAGTGTTGAACTGTTCGAAGCAAACCGACATTATGGCAATATCTGAATCCGGAACTCACTGCACTAGTTGTTTATACGTCCGTTCCCAGGATTATCTATGAACGTAATATTTAAAATACGGAAAAGGCAAGTTTTTAAACGTCTTATTAACAATTCTTTGTGATATCTTCGGTGGTTAATTATCATACGTAAGCCGCTTCTGCACTCACCTCAATTTTCTTTAATATTTGTGATAAAGGCATTTATTGGCAATACATTTACGTAATGAACGAAGGAGGAAAATTTGCGAATGACGCACTAAAGTTGACGAAACGAAACGTTGTAACATGAATATTTGTATTTAGAATGTTAAAATGAGTTGAATAGAAATTAAAAACGAGTCATTGCGATTTGACCTTTAAATGTTTATCAGAGAATTTCTGCAACATTAAACAACGAAATGATCCATCATGTGAGCACTATTGGTACGATAAGGGCATTTATCACCAAAATTAGTTGTTTCCCTTATCGCTACGTTTTTTAGTTTAATTGTAAACGGTACTGTTTCAGGATGACTATTGCTGATAATACTATCACTACTTTTGAATGCGAAATTAACTCATGCTGTGCTGACGGAAGTTGATTCTGTAATGAGGCACGACTAACGTGTGCAGTATCATCACTTCACGGTTTCAAAATCAATATCATTATTTCGCAAAGTTCCCACGGTCTTTTAAAATCTTCCAATTTGATATTCCAATAATATCGTAAATTATTTGAGTTTCAAAGTAGTATACAATGACCTTACAAATGTGCAAGCGATAAGCATAATTGAATAAATTCATAGTAAAAGAGAAACAGTTTAAAAATTCATGAAGCCTTTACTTATCATTCTTACGAGTGTTTTATACGTAGACGTGCATGTCCTTTTTCGCATACATCAGATACATTTAGTTTCCTCTTACTATTAATAGTTTATACTTGTACTTGTGTTTCTCTCAGTGCCACTTAATTCAAGAAATACAGGCAGAATAAAAATTCAGAACTTCTCGGTACCCACATTTGTTGCATTAAAATACTAGTGAGTTATAGGTATTGTACTTATACATATATAGTGAAGCTTATGTAGAGATCATGCCTCTCATTTTCGGCACAACGAAGCTAACTACATGTAATTCATTGTGAATAAAATATTTCCAACGTTTATATTGAATTGTCTTCTTATCTTTAAGGTCCTCCGATTAATGCTACCAGAGCGCGTTTGTAGTCACCAGAAGTTTCATTCTGAAAAAATATAAAAGTAACATCATGAAAAACATTACAATTACATTATGGATTACTAGCAAGACTTCTAAGAATATTGTATAATTGCAATATCGCGACAATATCGCAGCCCTACCTTAACAGCGGATTCAAGAGTTTTGTCGTATATGCGCTCGTATTCTTCTTTGATGTTACCAAGATCAATTTCTGCACGGCTGACAATGATGCGAATCAGTGTTTGATCATCAGTTCCTGCACCAGCCATGGCTTTGTGCAACCTCTTTGCAAAAAATGCCGGGGTGCTTTGCACGCATTCAACTAAAAAACAAGGAATGCAAATCGTTTTCATAATAAATAGAACATATCGCTAACAGTCAAATATGGCGGGACGAAATGGGTATGCGTGTCGCTCTCATTACATTAAATTGAAGTAAGTTTTAATTAGGCGATGACAAAATCTTTTGGATCTGAATTCCGTCTGAGGGAATAAAAATAATGTTTTAAGTACCAATGGCCGACATGGCGTCCTTGAGTTCTCCGCTGACTTCGTCTCGCAATGATTGTTCAATTGTTCTCCCGCTGACTGATTTGTACTCCTCGAACACGAGTCTCAACTGATTGAAGCTGTCATGGGCCAAAATTCTGTTGAAGACTTCTTCATCGGTCCCCAGTTTGCCTTCGCCTGAAAATGGTATTTTGTTTAGAGTCAAGGTCGTTATGTACATTGTTAAAAAATTCGTATTCGTTTAGACATTTTTTCATCATTAAAGAAAATATAAAAATGATGAAGGCATCGATGATACCAAAATCGTTAGGCTATAAGTAGAACAAGTTAATTGTTACGACTTGATATAAATATACAAAAGTGATAATTATTCAAACTCACCGGCATCGTAGAGCATCTCCGCTGCCTCTCTTGCACGTTCTGGGTCCACGTCCGATTCGGCATCTCTGACTCCCTGCTTGGCATAATTCTAATGTTTATTTCGAAAAAAATAAAGAAAAGCAAACACACCACTCAATTATTGGAAGAAAACGACACAGGTGTTACGATTTTCTGATGAAAGAGGAAGGGAACAAGTTCTAATGACCGTCGTTTTTTAAAAAAGAACTTTCTTTTTGTTTTTATATTGACAACTGTGCCAAATTATATTGGGTATTGCACTAAGTGGCATACTCCAACCTGTCGTTTTCGTACAATAATTATAAAGAAATCGGAGTAAAACTCCAGAAATCCTCTGGATTCATGCTGTCTGGGGCCCTAATTGGTTGCAGAGGGACCCCTGAGTCATCTGTAATTTCCAGGTCAATTAAATTTTCACTCCGAGACCTTGTACTTCCATCGTTTCGGCATAGAAGCGCATAAGACACTTTTAACTTCCAACAGATGTGAATGATTTTTTTTCAGCTAGAAGCGAAATTGTTTGGCACGTAACCATCCCACCTAGTGATACGTTCTTTTCCGTGCTCTTAGAATCTCCGAAATGCGTCCATGTACACTTTGCAGTGCAGGAAGTCGTTCAAGTACCTCGCAGGGTCGCGTTTCCCGCAATTGTATTTCAATAATTTCCAAGCTTTGCATCGTGTCAAGACTGATTGAGACGATTCATAGCACGTACTACACCTGAAACGTGATCTGGTTGTGCTCATGAAAAGCCGTTGAACGCCTCCGGGCAGAACTTCTCATCCGTCAGAGCTGGTCCTGCGCATCCTCATCCAGCCGGACGGGAATCATCCTCAGGGCGTGAATCTCTTCTTCGGGATAAGATGTCTCTATCTTAATGACTCGCAGTTATTAAGCAATCGCGCTCACCCTCCTCCGGCTCTCGAGGGGAACAGAGGATGAAAAGCTGGAGAGAAGGGACACTGCAGCAATGAACCGGAGTCCGCGGGCCGTGCTTATGGTGTGCACGGAGCCTTAATGGACCGTCATCTCGAATCCGATTGTCTCCGTCCTAGCCCATTGTTACGCGAGTTGGTCCGTGAGAACAGGTTTTCCAGGGAACCCTCTGCTCGAGGACCCTACCCTAAGAGGGAACTCTATGGTGTGCCTAACAATGACTGAATGCCGGAGACGTCCCTTGTTTGATGTGCTACACGTGTGACACGCGTCGCGAGTGTTGTGCCGTGACAAAACGTCGCTCGTCGGACTGCTAAGTGTTGGAACTTTGTGTCGGGACAAGGTTTCGCCGTCGATTAAATTTTTCAGCGCCGTTCATATCATCTTAAAGACTGCTGAGAAGGGTGATAAGATCCGTGCGAAAGGTAACATCCGCCTATGTTATCGAACATCCAAAGAGTGTCCTTAGGAGCGTAAGTTGAATCGGAAAATAGTGTTAGGGAAGAAACGATGTCCTATACGTGGATCTCTTAACGAAGAAGCGAGCCGGGTCTCTGGGGAGTACACAATGGGTAAACGCGGTAAAACAACTAAACGACTTCGAGGCAGAGCGAGATCGTAACAAACAACGTATAGATGGCTCCCTTTTATCTCTTTTCAGGGTGTACATTCTCGTCTTCGCTTTTCCGGCTTCAGGTCTCTGTGTACTCGGGGCTCAACGATTCTGACCCTCCGAAGAGCCACTTTAGGAAGTTTTACTTGTCCACCGCGAAGGACTGCTACGAGAGAAATCGGAACCCGTCTCGTTGGTTCTCTCGGGCGATTGTCTCCCAGACTTTCTTTAAATTCTTCTCCCCGATGGTCGATTGCTACGATTTAAGATGATAGGAAAGGCGCTGAGAAGTTTAATCGAGGTCGAGAAAGTAAAATTCATCAATACTATCAGTATTTAGTATTCAGTATCGGTATTCCTCAACGGAAATAAATTTATGGCCGGAGAATGAAACGCTCGCCAGTGAAAACGTGAAGCGATATTTCAAATTTGTACTAAAAAAGGAGAGGCCAGTTGACGAGGGTGTAATCGAAGCAGAGTAACGCAATTGAATGAGCGCGTTTCAGAGGACGTAAAATGTTATCGCATCCGCGAACATTTTGCCTCAACAAGCAATAAAAATTAATAGATTGCATTAACAAAGGGAGATCGGAAAACAAAGGAAAAGCTGGCTATTGGAAAATAATGAAGTAAACTGAGCCGATATGAAAGTAAATTGATAATCTGTGAGAGGCGCAAAATTCATTCTGCGGAATGTGTACACTGGGAGACATCAATGCCCTCCCATCCTGCACAGGCGATGCCGTACCTGCAGGGGAGGCATTCATGTCCGCCATCGTATTTACACGCTGTGCAATTAACGAACGATGGACATGGATATTAAAAAATACAGCTTTTTGGTACTGAAAATTTTAAACTCATTGGAAATATAAAAAAAACGATTTAGGGTAATTAAAAGAAATTGAAAACGTTGAATGAAACAAATTTACAGAATACTGTCGGCAGAATTTTGAAAGTTCCCAATGAACGGTTTATTTTTTTTAAGGCGATATGAAAGGGTCATTCTATATATATAAAACGTAAAAATATTTATAACTTTTCTCCAAATTGAGTGTACCGAATCATTTGAATCTTCAGCAGGTGATTATTGGGGGCTCTGAGGAAGAACGCGAAACTCATGAAATTTCATTTTTAAAAACAAAAATTTCTTTGTTTATCCCAGGCTAGAACCAAGGAGACATATTAAACAAAAAATGAAATTGGGTTGGACGGCAACTATATCGCCACGCGTAGAGGAAATTCATTTTTCCCTCGATCTATTACAACGATTAAGTCCCATCCTGCAGATTCTTCATAACTGCGATGTACTCAGGATGGATTACAGTTTTGAAATGTGGGTCGGGAGTAATGCAGGGGAAATCGAGGGCTCGTTCCAAACGGATAAAAGCCTCGACTCTGAAAGTATAAGACGGGGTTGAAACTTTTCCAATTTTTCAGATATACTAATTCAGTTAGTTGCCGGTCGTGGAATGGCAAAGTTCGTCGCTGCGGAACTTTATTCCGTCGGTGCTGACGTGCCAGACCACGGAGAAGTCGGCATGTTTTCACTCATTCGGCTTTGATTACCGACCGAGAACTGATGAAAACCTCTTTCGTCATTTTTAGGGATCAAAATCGATGGGCAAGCTGCGATTAGCATTCAAGGGACGAAAAAAGATTGTGTACCGTGCATGAAATTAGGCTTATAGTCTGGATAAAAACCTCTATTTTAGGGGAATAATGTAATAAGTTGAAGATTAATTCAGCAGAATGCTTTAAGGTGAAGTGAAACCCCCCTCAAATCAGTCGACTCGAATAAGACACTTTTTGTTTTAAGGGTATTGAAATGATAGTAATACGAGGTCTCGGAGTGAAAATTCAGTTGACATGGAAATCACAGATTGCGCAGGAAATCCCTCTCCAGTCAATCAGGGAATCAAAAACCATGAATTCAGGAAATTTCTGGAGTTTTACTTCGATTTCTTTATAATTATTGTACGAAAAGGACAGGTGGAATATGCCATTTAGTACAATATCCTATATAATTCGACACAGCTGTCGATATAAATACATACGTCGGCAAGAGTATCATTAAATAGCAAATGAACCCCTCTTAAATCTCACCTAATTAATTGTAGGAAGAATTTATTTCAGGCTAAATTGACATACTCCGAAGTTTATTCGATTCAGATCCTATAAGCATCGAAGGTCGATACGATCAATTTGAAAAAAAAAATCCTGAACTTATCATTTCAGTGGCAAAAGTGAACCGCTTACGGGGAAATGACTCGGTCGAAAGCAAAGTAGGGAAATTACTTCACACCGGGGTTACGTGCAAGAAATTCAAATGCTAATTACCGTAACGATGAGGGTGAGCAATCTCCTAAAGTGGCCAGAAGTCTCACTACACAGGTGCTCGGCCAGTGGTCGGTTGTACACTGCAACAACAAAAGTTCATTTCAGGAGATAATTTGCAGAACAGCAAGATAATAGGATTAAGTTAAGCCCCAGCCACCCCTTGACCTCCCGTTTTGGGTGATAATATCTGCAAGCTGGGAGCCGCTTAGAAGCTCGTTGTTCGGCATGGAACACCCAGCAGGGTGGCGGTCTGCGGGAACAACCCCAACATTATGATACATCGTAAAATCGATTCTCTCGCAGCTGCTTTGCACTTTGATATCGGATTTATCTCGTATCGGGGCATCAATTTTCCTAGGCTAATACCAGGCCAGGCCGAGCCGTTTATCACAACTTAGGTTCGATGTCCGAGGCCACGGTCTAGCGTCGTTTTTAATCAATAAAAATTATAATCGAACCCCGAACGTTCAGATAAGATAATGGATAATTCATTTTGATAAACAGGTACCATATAATCGATAACAATATATGAGGAATAAATGAGTGGTGGAGAATTTTTGGATTAATTGGACGACATTTTAGAGAAAGGGACAGGTAAACTTCACACAGTTCACTAATTTGCTGGTAATCAACTATATAATCGTCAATGCTTACTTAGCTTGTCAACAGTGTTCAGGAAAGTCGTCATTTCATGCGCAGGGAAGAATTAGATCTTAATTGAAAAATTACGATAACTCGATTGGAATTCCGGGAGAGGAATTGCGCGAATCAATTTCGACGCCCGTGATCGCGATCCGATCTCACCGTGTCATTCTCTCTTCCGTGCTTTTAATTGCCCTTTTTAGTCTTTTTAATCCGGCAGAAGCACACTAGGATCCACCATTGAATTTTCTTTAGTAATTTCGTTTTGCGTGACGAGCCTGGACGGGATAAATTGATTTTCAGGAAAAATGTCCCGGACGTGACTGCTCCTCTTGGAAACGTGAAAAAAAAAGAGAGGAAAAGGCTGGTAAAATTATTCCTTCCAACGGAAAAAATGTCACATTGCACTTTGCACTGTGAAGTTTATTGGCGATTAGGATGAATAAATATCTAGCTAAAATGCTACAATGCCTTTGGGCACATTCTCTGTTAAGCTAACCATTAAGTGAAGTCTAGAATCTCTTACTCATATGAACACGTGCGAATGTAGTTTGCACTCTGTGAAGTTTATTGACGAATAGGATGAATAAATAGAGAAAAAGACCCGGTCCTGCCTCGACTCGGTTTTATAGGAGCAGAAATATTGGACCGTTTCGGGTGTCACTTCGAGTTTTTTGCCAGGGCACAATTTGAAAGCGCCTGTCCGCGTTTGACATTTCAGAGCCCCGGAGGGACGGCGTGGAGCTGCGAATTGCGTTTCATTGTCTAATCCCAGATAGTAGGAGACAGAGCGCGGCGCAGTGGTCAAGCCGAGGCGTTATCCAGTCAACAAACACTTTACGTCCAATGTACGAGATGGCAGCTCGTAAACTCGATGTTCAACATCAGAAGCGACGATCGTCGCGAGCCCCTAACTCCATCAGGCCGGAACATCGGGCTTGCATCTGCAAGTTCTCGGCCGTTGGCGTGCACTCGGCGATAACTCATCACTTCGACGCGTGTCATTTTCCCTGGGTACTCTCCCGATCTCAGTGCTCGTAACGTACCCACGCATTGTGTTCCAACTTGACGTTGATGGCTTCGTAACGACCTCGGATGAGTAGATTCGCTAGGGACTCGCAATCTGAAGTCGTCCTACGAAACAGCTGGTGGGATTTTCTGACCCAGTTATCACGCTACTCTCTTTAACGCGAACCAAATTCTGACCAGCAGGTAGGGGATGTTCAACGACAGAAGCGACGATCGTCGCGAGCCCCTAATTCCATCTGGCCGGAACATCTCCGGAACATGTCGCGATCATTTCACGTCTCCTGGAAATCTTCCGGGGTCGAGGGAAATTTCGGGTAATCGTTGGATGAAGCCCGGATATATTCGGAAATTTGCCGCATTACGTGGAAGGCGCGTCGTCCCAGGATTACGGGAATATTTGGGACGTTCCACCGTGAACAGGACGAGTATTGGATATCGCAGGCGCGCGTGTACAGCGTGTACCGACATGGCGCGAGTACGCGTAGACCAACACGAGGAGGTAACAAGTACGTTCCACCGCGAACCCCCGAGGGGTTCACTGGTGTTCTCGGTTGGTAAGCTCGCCTCGTTTCTCACCAGAAGAGCCACCTTGCAGTGAAGTTTCAACGCGAAAAATGGCTGCAGAGCTTGCTCCCTACACTGTAATGGCGACCTCGGGGCTAAAAGGTGCGGAGATCTGATCTCCCGGTCGAAACGTGAAATTGATTTCAATGGTGACCCATTTCTAGAAGGATACTTCAATATTTGTCTGCAACCTTCCCTGGGGACAGGAAATCCCCCCAACCGACGTTAAAAGCTTCAAAAAGAATTAGAAATTCGAGAAGGCTCGGTGGAAATGTTTCACTAAAGGAGGTCGAGCTGGGATTAAGGGGAACCTTCTTGGGAATATCCAACATGAAATTGCGTTTAATTTATGTTTGGAACCACCAAGGGGATGTTTTATGGTTTACAGAAAAGAGTGACTTTCTGCGAAGTCATTCGGTTGCAAGAGAATGCTGGCTAACGCGTGTTTTTAGAGAAAAAATTTAGTTGCAGCTAAACGTCACAAATGGCGACGCTGGTCCGTCAAAATATAAGCAGTCATGAATTCACGGGATTAGAAGAATACTTTGACCAATGATTTGACTTGTCAGATATATACAGGCTGACTCTTTAATATCCTCTTAAAAAGGCCATAAAGGAAAGTCGAGGATCTTGACTTTGATCTCGTTCTCGCCCGGCTTCGCCGGATGAGAATCTCGACGTTATCGCGTTAGTGTCAATTGTCTCGCCTCGGTTCTTCTCCAGAAATTCAAGGACCTCGAACCGAGACTGGCAAACTCGTGAACTCGTCTCGTGCGGTGCTTCTCTAACGAGGACGTCCAAAGATTCAAAATGACCGATTTTAATGGAACTTTGCATCTTTATAGAGGAGCTCTCAAACGTCTCTGTGTCAGCAGGAATTTAAAAGCTCAAGAACTAGTCGGCGTACTACGGTTAACGACACTTCCCTTTTGAACTATTAACAACACTTGAATTAGGTGTAAGAGACGGTTGTGTCATTTTTTGAAAACGTACACTTCTTTAGATAAATGCTAAAAATTCATTTAAGGTTCTATACATTTTTAATTAGCAGAAAAATTCTTTCCCCACCTGCGCTCTTCTTTAATCAATGACTCTGTGCACGGTTTTTCGTTTCTTTTCCTGTGAATAAATTATTATGTGTAAGGGAAAGTTGTCATCCTGCATCATAAAAACGTGTGATTTCGTTAGCGAATCATGATTTCCAGATGACTTCCGTGCGGTTTCCTGCGCCATGAAAATGTGTGATTTCATTAGCGAATAACCCGTCGCGACCGACGACGGAAAACGCGTCGCGGGAGTCTGCGAGCTTTCGAAAGAGCTGGAGAGCCAGAAAGCTTCGGGAGATTCGACGTCACCTCGGAAAAAGAGGGGAGTTCTTCCGGGGCGAAGGGGCCGGGGCTTGTAAATTATCAGGGTGCAACGTGCAAGCTGCCGCCCTGCAGTGTCCGGTAGTAACATCCGCCGAAAGAATTCACCCACGCGCGGAATACAAATGTCTCGGCGGATTGCACGCCGAGATTATTTAGGTCGTCGTCGCGAGATTCGCGAGCGAGAATGGCGAATATAAATTCTCGACGTGGACCCGCGAGCGTTCGATATTACTGCCAACGGATGCGAGCTAACCCGGTCCGCCATTCCGGCTAAATCGCTGTCGTGCAGGAACGAATTCGGGAAAGGATCGGCGGAGAAACGCCGGAAGATGATCGCGACGTCGATTAGCGAGTGCACTTCATTTTGCAATCCTTCAGTTACTAAAAAAAAATCTTTCGTTCAAATAAAACATTTATTGAATTCAAATGAAGCAAATCATGAAATCAGAAATGGATGCCTCTGCAGTGCATCTTCTTTGGAAGGAAGGTCGCCGCAAAGTGCCTAGAAAATTGGGATTTCCCCTTCATGTAGTACCATCATAGGAATAGCGGTCGAGGTTTAATGTACAACCTCGTACACGTTTGCGTAAAGCGTGGGTGCCTCGAGTAGTATGGGTAGTACACTGGGAGACATCAATGCCCTCCCATCCTGCACAGGCGATGCCGTATCTGCAGGGGAGGCATTTATGTCCGCCATTGTACACTGGGAGACATCAATGCCCTCCCATCCTGCACAGGCGATGCCGTATCTGCAGGGGAGGCATTCGCGTTCGCCACTGTACAGGACCGCCATTATGTCGCGCGACTCAGAGTCGGTACAATAACAGGATTTCGGCATGGAGCCTGCAGGATTATTAAACGCTGTTGCGTCGACGGTGGATAGATGAGGTTAGGTTTGGTCAACGAGAACATCGTACACCGCGTATCTCATCTATGGATCGCTGAACAGGACGGATTGGGAACCACGCCGTGATACTCATTATTGGTCATATCACTTTAGAAATTCCCTGTCGGCATCAGGGAAAACAATGCGGACACCAGAAAACACACGAATGCAATATAATCCGTACATTACCCAGGCACCGCGGAATATCAGTAAATTAATCGTATATAAATGTTCATTGAACGTATGCAAGATATATACACCCGATTCTGCTTTTACACGAAATCCACAGATCGTAGATAAAATTTAGATTAGCTTGACACTTTGTCAGAATCCGAGGAAAGAATTTTGATATCGCAAGAACGAGGAAATATATAGCTACCTATACATAATCCTAGCAATTTGTTTCATATATTAAGTTCTGTGAAGATTAAACTACGACTGCAATTTGTGTTGCAGATTGCGAAGATTTGTTTCGAGGCCCGACGGATTTTCTTTCTTTTCCCTCGAAGTATATTCGCGAAATTGTAAACGCCGGATTGAAATGAAGTCATGGAAATTCGTTTCATCTTCGGGTATATCCTGAAAAGTAGATACGGTTGAAACGTGCCGGTTTGGCTGCAAGTAGCTCGCCGCTATACCTTTGGCCGAAAGCCAATTCAATTAGATCCTTAAACGTGTAATCTCGAGGTACATTCCCCCAGGTGACGGGATTGGGGTTGCTTTCATAATTCAGCTCCGTGAAAAAGTCGTTCATCGATATACTTCTCTGGCTATCTCTAGCAATCGGAAGGAAGAACGCGATGCTCATGAAATTTCATTTTTAAAAAGAAAAAATTCCTTTCTTTATCCCAGACTAGAACGAAGAACTTTCGCGTGGAAGCCGAAAATCATAAAAAAGGTGGTCCACGAGTACAACGATTTTCAGCGTATTTCTCAACGAGTGCTCGTTTTAAAGGTAAAACGTTGACGTGTGTTCATATGGGAGCGATTCTCGATAACGCAACTCCTTCCTAGTTAAAAGAGCATTCAAAGTATGTCGTACTTTTTTATGTGAAAATGACCACTTATCAAAAATCGCTCCCATGTAAACACAGGTCAACACTTCATCTTTAATATGAGCACTCGTAGAGCTCGATTGGTTTAGAAATACGCTGGAAATCGTTGTCCCCCGGAGGCCCTGCAAAATCGCTGGAGTGGTGAGCGCCCTTAATTATAGAGCTACTGCTGACCCGAGTCTAGTCTGGCGAAACTTAAGAGCCGCAGATATAGCTGTGTCCCAATAGGTTCCATAAAGTTTAACGAAAGCACTCACGGTGGCGCTCTTGGCGGTACGATTACAACTGTAATCCCGCAGTGGAAAAGTGAAAGATAAAACTTTCCCGACTGCGGCATTAACTTTTGTCGGCCAGCATGACCGAAGTGCGGTTATTCGTAACGATTATCCGATTAGCATAATTACAGATTTCGGACGTCACCAAGAGGTTATTGCCTTACCGAAATGACATATGAAACGCTTCGGTTTGTATAATTCTCAACGTAGACTGTAAAAGACTTCAACATAAATATTAATTCCGGTAACGGAACGCGGCAGTTTATGTTACCACTTGAGTATTCAAAACGGCATCATTTCATGAACTTCTCCGTTTTTAGGTTTTCGCGGCAGGATGTAATACGCGAAGGTTTAAGAATTTTCCGGTCGTGGCGAAGCGTTTAAATGTAAATCATATCCCGGTGTGTGATTCCAGAGATTTGCATACTCTCCATGGAGGGAACCTTTCCGGGGACTGGGAAGGTGCCGAGAAATTCCGGGGAAGTATTGCCCACCGGAAGTCGAAACTGCAGTGGACGCGCTCCAAGAGAATACACGACCGCTCTTTACAAGTTATCCTAAAGGCATTCAAGAAAATAATGTCCTGGAACAGTCACAAAGGGCTCACAAAGGGATGTCATGACTTACGTTTAAACCACCAGAACTTTTAAATATTCCCACTTTCTTCTACATTCAAATGAAAAACTTTGCACGTCGAGACATTTTATCGACGTGGGTGAAAAAAGATTTTTCTAAATACCCACGTTGCGGACTTTCGTATTATATTTGGTACTGTACTAAATGAAAATGTCGTTTCCTATGTTTTGGTTACCTCCCACCGAATTCGATGTTAGTGCCATCTAGCGGGGAAAGTCATCGTCCCCACTTTGGTGGTGAACGCCGTTAACGCACAATGAAGGCTCGACGGCGGAAGTTGGCAGGATTATGGAATCCACATCTTTGGGAAAGTTGCGGCGGTCGTGTGGGAACGCCGGAAGTTGCGAAACTCGACCAAGTGAAAACACCGCCTAGCCGCATAGTTATTCACAACTAGCCGGGGCGGTTTTAGCCCTCGTTTTGCTACGGAGAATACTATCGACCATAATAAATGGCCCTGTCCCCGAAAATAAACCGCGAGGAACCAAAATTCCGGGGCGGAACAATTCCGTAAGAACAAACGAGTTTTCTCGCTCAAAAATGTATTTGGCTCGAAACTCTACCAAGTTTCTTGACCTACGGGGAAACTCGATGTGCAATTGATCGACGTCGGTAAAAAAGAAAAGAAGTTAAAATGTAAGGAAAATGAAGAAGAGCAAGATAATCAGTGCCAAGAAAAGTGCATTAAAACGAGTGAAGTGAACATTATCTGCCGCATGGAATTCTTTGAAAGGGTTTCCTGACTTTTGGCACTCTCCTTTGGAAGAATGCCGTTTTAAGACTTAATTAAAAGTGAAAAACGAGAAGAGGACTGGATTAATTACAAGAGCGTTTTACCAGAGGATAAGAGCGGAAATTTCGACTTTAATGAGGTAAATGAACGAAATTTACTCCGGAAGCTTTCCATTGTGCAAATAAAGGTTTGGTTGTTCGTGCTTTCGAAGATATCTGTGAAGGAAAATAAAATGACTTTTCCGGACGCAGTCTTAGCCACTGAAATTGTCACATCATAGCCCAGTAAACTGCATCGTATGCACCCCCAAGCTCGCTATACCTAATGCATCATACTCCTGATGAAACCCGCTCCATGATGGGCCCATAAAGCATAAAGCCTCGAGGATGCAGTCCCATGAAAAATTCCTGGGAATTTTCCCCTCGGTGTCGCCTTTTAGAGAAATTTCCGACAAAATGTAGGTCTTCGGGGTCGTTTTTCACGACCGGCACGCTCGATTGATTGCCATCCGAGATTCCGTCTACGAGACGGGGTCTTAGTTCTTCCCTCGACCTGGCAAAGCGATTCCAGTCCAAGGAAATTGACAAAAACGACGAAATTGACGAAATCAACATAACTTCCAAATAACCACAAGGAACGAGTTGTTCCAATATTGTGCATGATTGTAAATATCCGTTTAAAAATTTACCATCCATATAAAAAATTCAATTGTATGATCACGAACGCTTTACTTACGTTTCTGACCGGGTTCTTATGCATTTCTACCTCAAGGAGTGAAATATCATTTGATGCTCAAAAAATATGGTCCCTTGACGATCACTTACTTTTTCCCTCTTCTTGGAGAAGGAGTAGAGTCATTGTAACTTAAACGTAAGGGATAGTGACGGGTCTTATATGCAAACGAGCAGTCTGCATCGTCTGCGAGAAGTTTTGCTACCTGCGGCACTGTCGAAACTAATGGGGCCAAACCATTGTTTCCGCAATCACCTAGGCAAGTTGAGAATAACCTTGCAACGGGAATAACCTTCCTATAATATATGGTTACCGCTCCCAGATAAACCTTCCATTTTCCTGTGCGTATTGTAACGTCTTCATGTAGTTAATATTACCATTCCAAATGGTGATCCCCCCTGCACCTCCTAGGCGCAGCGCCATGGATACAGTACCTATTCGCAGGGTTACATTTCCCATTCCACGTGGTAAATTCCACCATTTATGTGGTTTTACTTCCCGCAGTATTTTAACCATGTCCCCAAATTATTTTTTTCCGTGCACTTACGTTTTTCATAGGCGTCGACGATCGCACCGATTTCTTCGTTGTCCCTGGAGCAGAGGATCTCCACGAGGGTCTCCTCTTCGGTGCCAATGCCAGCCATCGCTTTGTGAAGTTGCTTCGCCATGTACTCGCAAGGGTCCTTCATCAGCGCCAGGATAACGTCCTCGAATTTGCCGCCCAACTCGCTCTTCAGATCGTCGATGAGATTCTGAAACGTAATATTCACATTAACGTTGGATTTTTCATTAATCCATTTCTATACATTCAATGAACTAGGCTTAGGGTGATTCTTATTCACAAAGTTTGAATTTTCACCGCGCTACCCCCCATCCATTTTATGTAAAAATAATTCCTGTATGACTAAAACAGCAGTTAAAAATCCCCCTGCGGGGAATTTTCTTCAAGCTATAAAGGAATCAGAAATATTTTATGCCGTTTAGAGATAAAAATGGGAACTGAAGGCTTCTTAAAAAAGAATAACGACCCGTCGGAAATCCGCGCGCAAAAATGTCGTATCGAATTTTCAGGCGACTCGCTCACGATGGAAATGATCGGATCGTCAAAGAATCACCGATGTGCCTTTTGATCGTCTCGTCGGGGAAAATGATGAAGGTACTCGTTGCGTGGTGGATTCAATTAGTTTCGCTTTTGTCGGAGGAAAATCACGTGGGAAATCGATCGCCGGTTTTGTCGCCGTTAACAGACTGCCACTCTTTCGTCAACGATACCGCCGGCGAACAAAAGCTCGGCGTCCTTGGAAAAACTGGATTCAATTATCATGTAACGCTTCCTTTGCATTCAACTATCGCGCCAGCGTACTGATTAAATTTCGCAAAAACATCTCGGCACCAGGGATTACACCCAGAGATGAAAAGAGCTGCTAAACTGAACAATTTGACCCCGTTAACCCCATTTTTGTCAAAAGAGCCGCTTTAACATAGTTCAATAAAATTTCTTGTTTTTATACTTTTTACATTGCAACGTGATAAAAACAATGACCAAGCGAAGGTTCTTCGTTAGTAGTTCGTAAAGTAGTCACAACCTTACATGTCCTTCCGTCACATAACGAGTTTCTTTTTGTAATAAAAAATAGAAAAAAACTTTCAGAGGTACTTTCAAACGAACGTTGTGCATGCTGGTAATTACGATTCCCCATTTCAATGCGCCGAGTCCCCTACAACTTCCTCGAACACGACATACCCTTTCCATATTGAATACATGTTCCACATGAATCGTGTACCCATCACTCTCCTAGATGAAAACAGCCGACATACGCTCGTCTTTAGTGCACTCGCGATTTTGTTCAATCTACCTCCAGAACGGTTTTGCCGCAGCGCCAAGGAAGAAAGAAGTGAAATACACGAGGTCCCCACCTTTCCGAGAACTATCACACTTTTAATTGCAGCGGACGCGTTAATGTCTTCCCTTTGAAAAAGCAGAGGAAGCCGGAGTGATGGAGGCAAAAAAGGGTCCGATATTTTCCCTAACGAACGTCGAGTCGGCGGAGTTTTCCAAAGGGTCGGCTCCTCGCAGGACTTTGATATGATTTTCAGTCGAGTCGTCGGCGATGGGGCGAGTTCTCGGATTCGGAAATCAGCCCGGGGAATAAATTCCAGACGATCGAAGTTTTCACCTCGGGATTCCCCTGTCGCAGCACCGAAGCAAAGGACGGGGACGGTTCGGCCCGATTCGACTCACTATTCCCTCTTCTTCGAGGACCCTGTCGACCCTCTTTCGCGCTCCTGTTTCACAATGAGCTCCATTGAAATTGCGCGAATGAGGCGGGAATGCAGGTGTATTCACGCGAAATGTTAAGAGACCGGATGAGCCGGGAGCGATCCCTCCGAGTCGAATAACCCGAAGGAATCTTCTCTACGGTCTCCAAAGCTTCTTTCAAACTCGGAGCCTGCTCTTAGAAAATCTGAAAAATCTCTCTATGACGCAGAAGTTCCGAACCCGGAGAGGGAACGACCTGAACTTTCGAGGGGTAATGAGACCAAAAGTTGAAACGATTAACTATCAGATTGGAAAAAAGTAGTCTATGATAATACAGTATATGAATATAGTCTATGATAATCCGCACAGCGCACACACACGCACCCATACCTTGGGAGCAAATGAATAATGTCTCTTAATGTCTAATAATAAATAATAATGTCTAATTAAAATAAGACCGTGTGGAAATAATCTCACCAGTACTCAAATATAACAAACGTTGTAAAATTTGAAACGATTCGGAACACCCAGTTCAGCGAAATGTTTCACGAACGATCGACCCCTCAGACGCCACTTTCACATCCCTTTAAGGTAGCTATACGTGATACGATCAATCGTAGCGATTTGTAATCTGTGCAGTTAAATCGAGCTCTTCCGTCATCGGAAACCATTGCCGAAATGGAGACTGAAACGTCGCCATAGCGTCCGGTTAAATTTCCGCGGACTTTTCAATGGGCCCGCTCCTCGAGGACTTTTGCCAGCGGGCTTTTATGTGCGGAAAAAAGAACTAGGGAAAACTAGGGCAGCCGAAACGCAGCATAATATCGGTGGGACACGTATCTGTAAAACGCGGTCCTTTTTTTTCCTTTTTCGTCGGAAGGATCTTGGGAAAAGGCGATCCCAAATCGCCGTGGACAACATCGATTTTCAGCTGGTTGGCTTCGTTTTTATCCCTGAATACCGACCGCCATTGTCGTGCCTTATTCGCGTGCAAAGCGAGCATTTACCGGCAGTTTATTTCGAGGATAGGGATGCGCCTCTTGAATCCCGGCTCAATGCGTGCATCGGTATCAAGTATCGGATATCCGTCGCATCTCTTATGAAGCACGTAATTCTGGGCCAAATGGCTCCACGTGAGTCCCTCATCTGGAAGGAGGCCAGGCGTTTCTTACGACAATCGACAGGGTTGGGTAATTCCCCATTTTTTCAGGCTTTACACGTACATTACGTAACAAAGGAGTTTACCGGAGGAAATCGTAGAAAACCAGAAAAGGGATGTATTTTTATTAAATGTTCATAAAGTATTGAAACTAAATATGTCATTGAAATTTTCAACAAATATTTTAGATATCTTCGAATGAAATGTACAAGAAGTCTTGAAAAATCTGTCGCTTGAGATATTCAGCAAAGATTACAAAGAAATATTTAGAAATTATTCTATGCTACTAGGGAAGGGCAAGAAATTCGAAATTTTCACGTTGTTGATTAGTGATAATGAAATTATTCATTCCTGTTAGAACTACTCGTACAAAATTAATCTGGGGGTCTATTACGTACAGCAAACTCGGCGAATAAACCAACGTGAGATGAAAGTGCGAGAAGTGAGCGCTTCGTCAAAAACACGTAATAAATTCACGTGCGGCCGTGAATAAGGAAATCACTCGATAACGTAGAATCCTAAAGAAACTCTTTCTCGCGAAACAACGATCTCTTCGAAGGCTTGATAGGCGGAAACTAGAAGAGGTGCAATGAGCATCTCGCCGAGGAGAGTCGCAGACCGAAGTGGCATAGGACGCCATTTCCTGGAGGAAATTAGACACGGATTCTCTGATATTCCAGGGTTAATTATCGGATGCTGGTACGCCGGTACAACCCGGCGGTAGGAATAGAAGGACCCTTAAAGACCACGAGCAAGGAACGAGGGCTTAGGTCCTTCCGTTCCAGAGAGGACCTGCAGACGACGAGGGAACTCCGACAATCCGCGGCAGCAGACCTCGGGCCCCGTAATATCGCTGACTTTCTCCTCCACGAAACTTAATAATAAAAGTAAATAGAGATTAAGGGGGCCACAACAATGAAGAGCCGTCCAAGAATTATTAAAGCCGAACGAACGTGACTAGAATGGAGGGGAATCAGGGAAACTTGGATCCGCTAATCTCCGCATTAAGGTGATGTGACGGAGTCAGCCTATACATATTTATATAATATAAACCACCTTCCTCGGCTTGAAAAAAAGAATATTGAGCCCAAACTATAAGAAAATGCAACAAAAAAATCGAATTTTTAGTTTCTAAACGATAATATCCCCTTAACGTTAAGATATGCACCGAGCATTTGCAGCCAGCCCGCCATGATGGCACATGAAACTTTAATACGGGAGGAATTAAATTCTTTTTAAGGACCTTCCTTTTTAACGACGCGGAAATTCCAGGCTCTAGTTTTTCCCCTACCTCTCAAAAACATTTTCCACTCTCCAAATAGTTGGCGTGTTTGATACCGCCAAGTATGTAACAATACGTTTTGTCTCTTTTATATAACATATATTATATTTTATATAATAAAAAAAAATATAAATATTAAGGGGCTACACCACTGTGAATGTCGAAACGATTACACATTTTTTACCACTTTTTTTCCCATGAAAGGTCTAATGTAGGAGAATGCAAAAAAACGTATTGTAGGTACTCTTCTTTGAGGATTTAACATTTTGTGTATTAAATGTTCCTTGTATGTGCCTATTGGATTCCATTACACCAACGGTAGAAATGAGCTGAATTTATTTTGTTTAACATGCAAAAAAGCTCCGTTGAGTTGCAATTGAATTCCACCCCTGCAAAATCAGTACATTCACCGTTCCTCGTTACGGAAGCTTGGACAGAAATCTCCCACATTTACCTGCATTCAGGGTTTCAATTTATTTTTCCACCGGTTTAAAATCACAAATGTTCAGCTCACTGACCGATGAACGAAATTCACATTTTGATCCCTGATATGGCTCTGACACGCTATCAGCGAGTAATCCTTTCTGTATCGAACCCGAAGGTATAATCCCCGCAAATCCTAGCCACTTTACAGTGAGTAATTCATCACTTTACAGTAATGACGTAGTTCTTCTAAACCCAACGACGGAATCGCAAAAGACAAAACGCGCCATTCGTTAAGCAACCGTCGAGTCGAATTTATTTGACCCAAATTTATAAGTTACTTTTATAATAAACTATATTTTACTGTGAGTGTGGGAGGAAATTCATACCAGAACATATCACTCTTTGATATCACCTTAAGCATAGATCCACCTTAATCAAGCCGGAAAACGAGGGCGAGGAGTGGTGATCGTGTAACTCACCCGATGCTGTTGGGATCGTCAAAACCGGGACTCCCAGGAATCGATGTATAAACGGGCCCCCGATTCGCGTGCTCGGTTTAAGCGGTTCCCGAATATACGAGCGACACGGCTCTCGGCATTCCAGAATCGCCCCCCGTTACGGCCGGATATTTCTGGCTTTCGAAATTATTCCCTTCCGGTTTGCGCAGCTCGAGCCACCGAACGACCCCAGGGACGTGTCTCGATTTACGTCACGAACCGCGAAACGATGACCCTTTCTTTGATATCACTTTCCGCCGATGGACTCCCCGCGATCACGCGATGCCCGGAAAAGGGTACAAGTTACCCGTGTTATTTATTCGTATCTTGTTTGTAGCTCGTTAGCGCCACGGGGTGGCTAATAACCCTTTCGCTCGTAACGTTGACTATGGTCACCCAACGCCTGGCGCTCGCTAAGAATTATTTTTTTCATTTGTTAGTGTTCCGTTGCATCTCGACGTCGAGGCTCTCGAAGGTAACGCAAGTGTCCACGTTTTATCATTCATATAAGTACTCGCGTCTTTGTGAAAAAGGTGGAAAATTTAGGTGGCCACAAGTCATCCTTTCCATCATTTTCTGCCAACAAAGAGCTGTTGCATGTCGTTCTACCGACCGGGCTCTTTTGCGGCCGTTGCAGAAACATTCGGGGTTTGGGGGGTGCACCAAATTTATGCATCCGTGCATTCGTGCTCCCAGCACACGAGATACCGTGGAGTGCGTCTAGAAACAAAGTCGCGGGAGGATATCTCGTTTGCGGCTAACCTCGTCGAGTGGCGGCTCCAGGCCGGTGTGCTCTGTCACCTAGCTGACTCGCGAAAGCTTCTGCAAACATTGTGAAGCGGATTTTTCATCCGATTCGCCGTGGCAACGGCTCTGTTCCGTCGCGTCGTCAACGCGAGGGATCGTTGATGTCCTCAGGGCGTAAATCCGGGATCTCGCGATTTGCAATTAAATTCGCAAACACAACTGTTACAATTTTTTAAATGACTTTGTGTGCATAGCTGTACGGAACAAGTTCTCAAACAGGCTCTGCTCAAAAAGTGTTATGAATTTAATTTTTTTTACAAATACATATGAATATCTATAGACCTTATGTACCTTATGTACCATGTCTGGACATCTAGCCTTTGAGTGGATCTACAATAGAGTTCATAGATATCTATGTATATCTTACATACGTTCAATAAACATTTATATACGATTAATTTACGGATATTCCACGTTCCGCGGTGCCTGGGCGAAGACTTCCGAAATTAGCCGAGAAGTCTTTCATTCACGAAGAGCTCGTTCCAGGAGCTACCTCTCGGTAAGGAATTAATTACGCTTTCGGCGAACCAATTGGGGATTAATTGCCGCAACCGGTCACGTCTGTAGAACAATCCTGCGGAGCCTTTGGTCTATTATTCCCCAACTGCGCAACCACGTGACAAGGCGTGCTGGGAGATTGAATTATTAATGATAGGTTATTGTTGCGGCGGGGTTGCATTCCAAATAGGTGTTCCGTGATCCCATTCGTGGTCGCATCTATGCCCACGAGATTCGATTATTGCAACGTCGACGTCTAATCACGACATCCCTGCCGAGATAAAGGATCGTTTGGCGAACCCCAAAATGGTGTCGTGAATTTCTACCGTATTTTTGAGACGGTCTCCTTGGCCATTCAATTTATCAATGTGAAGTGAAACCCCCCTCAAATCTTGTCGATTCGAATAAAAAACTTTTTTTTTAAGGGTATTGGACCAAACTGTTCGAAACTTTGATCATCTAAGAATTGCCCTGACACATTCAAAATTTGGATTTTTGGAGAAAATTTTTTAACTTAGCCCAGACCAAAAACAAAATATCGTTGGGCTCTCGTAATTAAATCTCTCAACGTAGACTGTAAAACACTTCAAAATAAATATAAATGTCGTTAACGGAACGCGCCAGCTTATGTTCCCACTTGAGTATTCAAAATGGCATTCCTACTAAAAAGGATATAGATGAATTTTAATTTATCGACGTTAATTAAATTTCTCAGCGCCTTCCATATCATCTTTGCCACCTCATTTCTTACAATTGTTTCCAGGTATGATATATGCGTCAAGTGTGAGGAAAGTTTCCTCGAAAAGAAGCTCATTTTTCGGTAATCTCCATAGGAAGTATGCCGTCATTTTTAACGGACCGTTTTCCGTTTGCCTCGACAATGTCCCTTTTTACATATCCAAGAGTACGCGAAGTACGTAGGACAAAAATGTCCGAAGTAACTTGGTTTTACATTTGTTCCACTTTTTCCATCTCTCAAGAGAATTCAGGAGCTACGCTCGTGAATAGTAAAGAAGATTGAGTTATATCTGGAATTTTCCGGATTCCGGAAAAACCGCGAGAGCGGAATATATTTCTCAAGAATGAAACGCATCGCGTATATAATGCAGATTATGGTTCCTTGGAGACGACGCGCCTCGGTAAAGGTAAATGCATTTTTGTCTCGGCAAACACCGTTTTCGATTTCAGGAGTACTTATATCTTCCTGTTTAATCGAAAAAGCCAATGACAATACATCAGGACTCACAAGGAAACATTCCCAAGTATCCGCCGTCGATCTTATTCATTTCCATATATGTTGAAGAGCACATATTGAAATCATGTCAGTGATACCACTTCTATCATTTCCATTTAATTAGAGAATTACTTATCGTCGGCGAACCATATTTCATTCCAATTTAACATTTTCACTGATTCGTTAATTTTATATAATTAAATATTATTACATTCCCAAATTATACCTTTTAGAACGAAATAGGATCATCAACGAAAATGTAATTACTCGCTTAGCAATAATGCGTCCTTTCAATTTAATTAATTATTCATCGATATTAAAGCCGAGTGAGCGAACATTTTACCTTCCCTCCTGAGGCATATTGCGTACTTTGCAAAGGCCAGGCATTGCTACACTTTTATTAAAACTTTCATTTTGTGTTTTCATCAGAGTAATTACTGGCGGCCTGTTTTGGGCACGACTAACAATACGTTTTTGTTGGGCATAACAATACGATGGATAGATTTTTCCAGAGAAATATCCGGAAATTCACCGAATTGCGGTCGACATGTCTGTTGTTTGACAGAGAGTAGCCACGTGGACGCGGCGAGACCGAAATCCGTTTGAGAAATGTCCAAACAATCCGGTTGTCATGGCGATGCACACGAGAGTATGCCGAACCACAACTGTTTTAATTTCAACGAATAAGAACCACGGAGAGATCGCGCACCTCGGGACAAGTTTGTGAAAATGTCCTCCCGGATCACGGGAGTTTTTACGATGATTGTGATAGGATAATTAACGAATTCGACCTTGCACGTTAGTTGTCTCTTTTGAACAAGAGACTTTAGGTAGAAACCATAGGTTGAAACCAAACGTGACAACTTACCCGTCCATACTCGTAGGTGAAATAATCCGCTATCTCTTGACGTTGACCATTGCTTCGAGCTGTCAAAATGTCAATTATGGCTTGTTCATCCGTGCCGAATCCTTTCATCGCAGTTCGTAGAGCGGTAGCATCTTCCGCGGCATTGAAGTTGGGTGATGGAGTAACCGTTGGAACTGGCTGGAAATAAAAGACAGAAAACCATAATTAACTCTGAAATGTTCATAACTTGTGTCATTCGATAACGCACAGCTCTATCGCCTCTAATTTTTGCCTGAATTCTTATCCTTTTTCATCAGCAAAGCTCTTACTTAAAAAGTGTTAAAATGAGTGCATGCATATTTGTGCGTTATTTAATTATTACTTCCCACGTGTACTTATTTTTGTTGCAATTAAAAGAATGTTTAAATCCGTTTCTAATTTTTTTTTCTATGTCTACTCGTAGAACATGTTGATATAGGTTTAGTAGTTTGTCTCGAAACACTCTGTACGGGTATACGATATTTCCCTGGAAGCGGAATAGTCGGCCGATGAAACGAGACCGTAAAGCAGCCCTCGGCATCTTTTTACCGCGTACGCCCGCAATTTTGTTCCACCCGAGGTACCGCCGGCTTAATTGTAACTCGATTGAAATTTGAGTAATTGTGTCACCTCGAGATCCCGTTAAGCCCATCGCGTTGCTTTCAACCAGGACAAAGGACCACTTCCAAGACGCCTTGTCCCGCCAGATTCAAGCTCTGCTGAGGTCAGAGCTTTTCTCTCGAGGAAAAAACCCGCGGAAGAAGAACCTTTAATTATTCAGTCAGGAAATAGGTTATGTCGGCGGGGTCTAGCAGTGAGCTTTACGGTCCTGACACGGAAGCGGTTATACGCCAGGGTTGCTCTTAAATGCCGAAGGCCAAACAGAGCTTACGGAAGCCTTCCGAAACGGCTGAATGAATTTTCTCACCTAGCCTAAGGGCCAAAGCAGGAGAGAAGTTAAGGTGAAGTGAACCCCCCTTCAAATCAGTCGATTCGAATACAACATTTTTTTTTAAGGGTATTGGACCAAACTGTCCGAGATGATCGAACGTATTTGGCTACACAATTTCGTCTTCGCATATTTAAGTGTGATAAGTGATAATCTGCTCAACTCTTCAAAACTTTCAATCAGAGGAATGGATGAAGTGATAAATATCTGATTAAAAGTACCGTCGAAACGGATCGCAGCGATATTATTAAACATATTCGGATTCACGTTCCTTTTTTCTGATATTTAATGTAAACCTCCATTATGATTCGGACCGTGCGACGCATTTCGTTATGCGAGAATAGCTTTGATAAAAGCTGGCCCATTAGAGAAGCTTTTGCGAGTAGAGTGCGTGAAGGGAAAAAAAGCAGTCGCTCACGCCAGTTGGAAAGCTCCAATGTAAAGGAAAGAGAGCAAAAAAATGTCGCGGTTTGTTTCAAAGCATCCGATGTAGGTTCCTTTTCAGAAGGACCTCGGCCACATCACCGACGAGTTAACATTATTGCTATCATGTAAATGGGGAATGTTGACCACGTGACTAAAAGTGAATCTTTTCCTTGCTACGCACCCTGCTGTAAAAAGTACCATCTACGTAATTACTCCGGTTTAATGTCTTTTTCATTTTAATTTTAATCACTACGGATTTATCTTTTTTATTTCAATTTTAATTATCACGGATTAATTTCTTTCGGTTAATTTTATTGCTATTGAGTTCACATTATTGCTATTTTGCAAATGGAGAATGTTAACCACGTGACTAAAAGTGAATATCTTCCTTGCTATGCACCCTGCTGTAAAAAGTACCATCAACGTAATTACTCCGGTTTAATGTCTTTTTAATTTTCATTTTAATCACCACGGATTTACATTTTTTTATTTCAATTTTAATTATCGCAGATTAATTTCTTTTATTTTGGAGTTTAATCAGCAGAGATTTAAGGTAAAAGTTTCCAAGCTTCTTTTTCATAGCAGTTTCTAATATAACAATGCGAACAGTGTTGAATAACAAATTTAAAAAAATTGCATTCTTAAAACTAAAAATCTCTTGATTAAAATCGATATTTTAATCACGATTTTAATTAAATCATTTAAATCAGCTCAATTTTGATCGGGCACTTATGCGAAAAGTTTGTTTCTGTTAAGGAGGTACGAAAAAGGCCGAGAAATTTAATCGACGACGGTAAAAAAGATTCTTCTAGCCGACATAAGCCCTACATCCCATTTCCACGTTTAAACCTTGCCCATTTGAATTGCAGGCAGGAATACAATGCATTTGAACAGAACGCAACTAGAAACTGTAACGGGAATTGTTTATCAAACTAATATTTGACTTACTTTGTAGTTGGCCATTATTTTATTCTGACCCCGACGATAGCAGATACAACTTGAAATAAGTCAGACACCGGTCACTCGAAATCTGAAACACAGAAAAATAATAAAACGTTAACCAAAGAGATGTTAACTAGTTTCTAAATTGCAAAATGATTGGTTGTTATATTAATTTGAATGTGATGAACTGTCAATTCGCGAAGGTGAACATTTAAGATATAAAACGGCAAAAGAGAAATAATTTACATGTGAAAGTCCAGTTACAATATAGATCAGAGGCTCTGTCCTATAGATCAGCCGTAAAATTTTCAGGTATACCGTCACCGTGGAGAAAAATAAATTGAAAAACAGGCCGGAAGTTCGAAAAGTGTCGAGGTCGATGCGTTTCGACATTTTGCGAGTCGCTGGAGAACACTCTCCGAGAAAAAACCCGTGGATTCGTTTCGGGAGCTAACCGCGAGTTGGGTTAATCCGAAAAAGCAGGAGGCAAGCACCGGTCGGGGACGTAACCTAACCTGCAAGCCCTCGAAGCTCCTGGCCCGGCGCATTCAGCGGTATTTAATGCATGTGCCGGGTACATCCTGTTTCCCACTCTCGGAGGAATAAGGACGGTTTCTGAGCACCCGCCCGTACGGTATAAAAAGTAAGTTACGGTTTTACCACTGCTCGAGCTTACGAAACGGCTTACGGCTTACAGCTTGCAGGAGCGATTCTTGTGCACGCGGTACATCCCACAAGGATACCAATACCTGGTATCCTACCTCCTCGAGGACTCGCGACGTCATTACGAATGGGAGAATTACGCGCGAACACGTTTTAAATTAGACTTCGTCGCATTTTGCGTGGAACGACGATAGGTATTTTGAAAAATGGAATTTTCTAAAAATGGTAAGTAGGCGTGCCGAGGCGAAGACAGCTTCTGGGTGGGGAGAAATAACGTTTGGGTTTTAAATAGTGAAGATTAAATTGGTACGGCTGTGAAGGTAAGCACAAGAAATTGGATAATTTTGTACCAAACGGTGCCGGACATGTTATGCCGCACGTGAACTGGAATATACGTAAATTAATCGTCTAAATTAGGTCTATAGGTACAGCAAATGTATATCGATAAAATAAAATATAACACCTGATAAATAAAAAAACACCTGTCTCTTAGATTTTTATGTTCTTCAACATGTTAGAAAATCAATAAGATCGGCGGCGGACACTTGGGAATGTGTAGTTGTAAGTACAAATATAAGTACTGTGGAACATTAAGAAACGGCGAGTTATATACAGCCGTGTCTTCTAAAATGTCACACTCGCAAAGTACTTGTTCAAACATCCGGCGAGGTCGTGTACTTACTATGAAATTTTTAACGCCTCCTCTCTCGGGCGACATTTGAATAATGTTTGCAACGACAACCCCTGAATTCTTGAACACAGAGGGTGCCAGAAAGACAAGGTAAGGTGGTTTCCGGAGCATTTTTGAGTTTCAAAGGAACACTCAAGACGTCGACCGGGTAATTACGTCCCCGGAGATTTCAATTGCGCAAGCCCCTACATCCTCAGGTACAGAAATAATAACGAAGCCGAGCCGTGTCATCTGCATCCGCGGTACATTTTTCTTTCCGCGACTTTCAATATTTCCTTCCGATAAATTTCCTTCTCAATGGAGCAATATATTTCCCTAGTGACGAATCAGTGTTTGCCGACTGAAAGTTTACTAATGAAGTTGAGACGTTTCGTTGATTCGATCGGTGGACGCTTTATCGACACATTCGAGGGAGTTCCCTGGGTTCCTTATCCGTCTTCCTTTTTCTCCAAGGGGAAAGTAATTTAGAAAGAGCAATGAATTTCCCGAGGTTCTCCCTTGTTATCGAGCAAACCGGCATCGAGGGAATAACTGTTTTCCCCTGGGCCGGAAAAACTGAACAACCGATTAGCGGATCTCCTCTGAAGGAACGAAGGAAAAATGAACTCCAGGGAATTATCAAGCGAAAAGTTACCTATTGGTTCGGAAAAGAGGTCCGCTAATCGGTTGTTCAGCTTTCCCATCATCTTTGTGCCCAATTGTTTTCTTGCATTATTTCGCAGTCATAGAGAGTTGCAAATGCCTACATATAATGAAAACATTTCATGCAGCAAATGGTTTGTAAACTGTACTAATGTACTAAATCAATTTTCCTCGTCACATTATGATCAGGAATTTATATCTGGGCATGTCTTGCGACACGTGGAAATAAATCTGCAGTCGATGTCAACGGAAGCAAGGACCCCAATTCGCGATGCAACATACGACAGCACTTAGAATTAGACAACCGCAGAAGCACCGGCCAAGTTTTACGAGTCCGATGAAAAGGAATGGGAAATCCGCATTTACCGGTGACCTAGGTCATCTAGGAAAATGGCCCCTGCTCGTTTTTTTCCTCCACGAGTCATCGCCCGGCTCGGATGTCGAGCTTTTCCGATGCCAGACGAGTTGGTTACTTCCGCTCGCGGTACCAGCTGATTAGTCGGACCTGGCAATCTGCCTGATTAAAATTAGTCCTTTAAATCGCGACTGCAGAGAGCATCGAAAACTCGGGGAATCCGCAATGGCGTAGGGTTGTAATCAGGAAGAGTGCGCCGGGACAGAGCGGAAGTAACCGGAAGTCCCGTTAATCAGGAAGTTAATGACGTAAGAGTAACTCGTGGTGCCCCTTAAGTCGCGAGGCTGTCTCTTCTGGGTTACCTACTCCATAGAGATTCGATTCGCCCTAGATGGTGAAACCAGTGACCTTATAGAGCTTTCTAGTCGACGAAAAAATTCTGGTTGAACCAGCCGAAATGGTGGACCTTAAGGTGATACGAAAGAGTCAGCTTATATATATCTGAGAGGTCAAATCGTTGGTGAATGTATTTTTTCTATTTTCTCATCGGACTGAAATATTCCAGATCTACGGTATTCTAAATTGTTCGTGCTAGGTCCTGAAACTCTTCATTTTCGATTCTAAAGCCTCCAAGAAGCGTAAAACATCGAAAATCTGTACGGACCACGCCATGTTGTTTCTAGTCCACGATAAATATACACATTTTTGATGAAAAATGAAATTTCATGAGTTTCAGGATCTAGTTTAGGGCCTCCATATTCACATGGTAAAACTTGAAACGAATCGGTACACCCAATTCGGGGAATACTTTCACCAACGATTTGACTTTTCAGATATATATAAGCTGACTCTTTCATATCGCCTTAAAGGGCGCTTGAAAGAAATACTCTTTGTCCTCGCTTTTTAACCTCCTCGACTTTGGCTCATTCGGCAAAAATGCTGATTAAATTAGTCGCGGAATTATTCGTGTGAAGGCGTCATCTCCCTATGTAATCGTTTGCTTTTTTAATCAGATCGAATGAAACGTGCTAATGTCGACAAAATCCCGGATAGAAGAGGTCGACTCTGTCCCGACGCTGTTCATTTCTTTCTCTGAATTTTTAACGAAATTAAGGGAAGCCGAAGGGCTTGAAAGATAATTTTCCCGACGTTTCTTCGTTTACTCTTTTAATTAAATTTATCTTAAGGGAGGTGCACCGTAAATGGGACCGGTGTTATACAAGGTTATTATCCAACGGGACTGTGTAGCTAATGGACGCAAAGGCTTAAAGTCAGCTTCGTTGACATTTTCCAACCTTTTCTTGTGCCAGGACCATACTGACGGGGATTAAAAATGCAGTTACACCTAAGGGGATGGGATGGAAGTACGCCGTGAAAATTTCCGCCTATCGCAGTTGGATGTTCTCCTGTACATACTAACGTGCTTCCGGGTTGGTTTAATGGAATTAAATTATCCACTGACAATTTACATGGAATTTACACACAATGGTGATTTTTTTAACAAATGTTTCTCCATGAAATGGCTAACGTAAACACTATTTATTGAGATACTTCGATGTCGAGAAATACATTTATAATACAAGTTTGCTGGATGTGCATGTAAACTCATTACCCGGTTACTGATTAACGCTAATATAAATCTTCAGAATAATTCCATTACTGTTAATTGGATGCTATCGCATGGTAATGTTAATGGTAGTAATAATTCAATTAATATTCGTCGGCGAATGAATAGCCTCGAGTACTAGTACCAGGTGCACAAAATGTTCGTCGAAATTATTTCTCAAGCAAGATTGCCCTCGTGTAAAAAGCCGCTCTCTCATTATTCGACTCCGTGACTGTCTAACATGTCCTTAAACCTTAATCAGGTGAAACACCCCCGTGCTTAAACTTCTTGCAGTCTCGAACTCATTGCATACCGTAATATGGAAATACGGACGTGCAGAATAAGCCAGTCGTTTCTAAAGAAAAATAATTCTATCAATTTAATTAATAATTTTTTTACATAACCAGATAGAAGTAGAACCACTTTATTTGTTAACTTAAGATGACAATAATTTCCAATTTCCAACAAAATAATAAAAACAGAAGAGAACAAAAAAAAGTACGTGCGAAATATTTTCCTGTCTCTTAAATTGTTTCTGTAGTTCACGCTTTATTCCATATAAGGGCACATATCGGAATGCAATGGACCAAAATTTGTAATGCCTGAAGTAATCGGATTAAATTTAGTATTTCGATGTGCAACGAACGATGTGGTCATATCAAAATGAAGAGATCCATTATTTTGGAGTATTTTTCATTTCATTGGTCTGCCATAAAAAACCCGTCGGTCAGGTCGTATTACGAAATATTCAATGAACTTTCATTTACAATGGAGCTCTCCAAACTAAATATAAAATTAAATGCAGAGTGACGCTAGTGAAAATTACAAAAGTGCTAAATAATAAAATAAAAAAGTGCTCAATAACCGACATGTTGATTAATAGTTGTCTAATGAAGAACAGGTTGAGCGTTGTCACTACAGGGAATTCAGTCAAACGCCTACTTTCATTAATCTACCCTAATGAACAACCCCATTTGGCAAAAGTGGAGGTAATTCGACTAACTTAACTTCTAATTTAATCGTTTAAACCGATCCATCACTTTGTCGAGTTTACCTACAGCCCCTGATCTAAATTTAATGGGTAACATTACGAAGTGATAAATGTACATCTCGCCATCGAGTTATGTTAAT